TGCTCCCAAGCCCCAATCGCGCTGGGGTTTGGGGTCAAAATGGAGGCTCTGCGCCCCCAGCTGGCACCTCTTCTCTGCAGGGCACCCCAGGTCCCAACTGGCAGCCCCATGCACCACGATGCCACGCGGGAACCCAGTGCCCTGGTCCCCGCTGTTGGGGCGGGGGGAGGAGGCCCCTCGAGCCTGCCCGAGCCCCCAGCCCTGGTCCTCCCAGGCCACGGGCCTCCCCCCAGAGCCGGGCACCGTGGCCCCTGCCGCCGAGGTCTCCAGGTGGCTGCAGGCTTGGCTGCTCGCTCCTCGCTCTTCTCCGAAGGAGGTCTTGGCTGCAGACATGGTTTTTGGTTTTGTTTTGTATTGTGTTTTAAGATTTTATTTATTGTTAGAGAGGGGAAGGGAGGGAAAGAGGGGGAGAGAAACATCCCTGTGTGGTAGCATCTCACACGCCCCGCCCTGGGGACCTGGCCCGCAACCCAGGCCTGTGCCCTGACTGGGAATTGAACCCGCGACCCTGTGGTTCACGGGCCGGTGCTCAGTCCACTGAGCCGCACCAGCCAGGACTACAAAAATGGGTTTTCTAAGCACGACTCCAGGGGGACTTTGGCCGCCGCGGCTGGAGCGTGGTCAGTCCCTCTGGGCCCCGGGGGAGCAGGGAGAGGAAGTGGGCAGAGCCAGTGGATGCACGGCATCCAGGCCGAGGGAGCCCGGGGGACACCTGGAAGGACCCCGAGTACCCTGGCCAGCTGCCTGGAACATCCCGGAACTTGGAGAGGGGCTGCCTCCTTCCTGTGCCCCATGGGGGGCAGCTCAGAGGGCGGGAGTGGGGGGTGCCCCGTCACTGCCAACAGGCACGGCGCCCCAGGATGCGGAGACCGCAGGCCGGCGGTGGCCCGAGGGCCCTGGACACAGCCCCTCCTTCCCTCGACTGCTGCCCACTCTCCGCCCGGCCCACCCCTGCCCACCCGCCAGCCAGCCATTCAGAGCCCGCTGGCCCGGGACCGGGTCCAGCCCGAGGGACAAAGCTGCAGCCGGGTCCTGGGCCCGGCAGACCCTGACGGCGGTTGGCTCTGCCGCCTCGCGGGGCCCCTCGCCATGGTTACGGCCCACCCGCAGTCCTGCTGAGAGGCGGGCATTGTGTGGGCGCCAGAGCGCGGCGGGCGCCCAGGAGCCCCGGTGGGCACAATGGCCTCGGCGTGCCTTTGCCGTGGACCGGGAGCCGAGCCCTTTCCCACGCTCCGGCCCCGCTGCCGCCCTGGGGAGGGGCGCGGCCTGGCTTTGGCGGACGGGGAACCAAGGCCCGGAGAAGGCATGCATCCCGGGGTCACGACCCCCTGGGACCAGGGTCGGGGCAGGGCTCTCGGCAACCAGACATCGGGTGGGGGCATCTGCACCATGCGGACCGCGCTGGGCCGTGGGTGCGCACACACCGAGCGGCAGCGGCGGCCTCCCCAGCGCCCTCCCGCCCTGCGCCCCCGGCCCAGCCGACGGGGGAGCAGGCCCCAGGCTCGCATCCCCTGACCGCCCTGCCCCAGCGCCCCCTCAGCTCCCCGCCGGGCACGAATCTCCCCTGCCAAGTGTCACCCCCCTTAATCCCTCCCTCCGGCGGAAGGGACAGTTGCCCCTGTCCAGCGCCCACCAGCTTCTCTTTGGAGACTTGCCCCTTCCCTGCAGGGCATGGTCTTGGGGTGCAGACGGTCCTGGGCTCTGCCCGCCCACCTCAGAGGCTGAAGGGCTGAGGGTCTTCCGGCTGGACCCTCGTCACTGCAGGGACGAACCAAGGACAGGCGGTCTGGCGTCATTGGTGGGGTCACGAACGAAGGTACAAGGACAGGGCTGTTGCTGGCACCTGCTGGCCCGTGGCCACCACACAGTCACCCTCAAAGGCAGAGACAATGACAACAATGATGAAGGCAGCAGAGAAAAACCACACACACACACACACACACACACACACACACACACACGGGACAACAGCGGGTGGGCCGGCGGCTGACCTCCGAGACCAGGGGGGCAGCGGGGGCGGAGTCCCGAGTGTTCGCAGCGCTGAACGAATCCAGCCACGCGCCCTCCAGCCACGAAGGTGAAGGGCAGCCACTCCCCGATGCGAAGAGCTGAATCTGCTGCTGGCCGACCTGGCTCCCAGTGAACCCTCACGGAAGCACTCAGGCCGCAGAGAAGCGACACGGGACAGGGACGCGGGTCTGGGGGAGGAGAGGACCAGGGGCCGCCGCCGAGACAGCTTTGAGGGAGAACAAAGCTGGAGGCGTGACAGGACCCCATTGCAAATCTCCCCCAACGCCACGGGGATCACGGGGGTGTTGTGTTGGCACAAGGCGGGCACACCGATCGGTGGAGCGGAGCTGAGAGTCGGGAACTCGGCCTTGTGTTCCTGGATTTTTGACAAAATGTACCAGGACGATTCAGTGGAGAAAGGACAGGTTTTTCAACGAACGGTGCTGGGACCACTGGGCATCATAAAACCCAGCGATGCAACCTCGCGTCATACGCTGGAACGAGTGCCCAGTGCACCCGGGAAAGCCGTGCAAGAGCCAGGGCCGCGCGACACCTGCAAGAAACCGCAGGGGCACCTCCGTGGCTGTGGGTTCAACATGACCGCAAAAGCACAACCCGTAAACCAGTGGACAGACTGGAAGTCGGCTTTGATAACAGCCTCTCTTCGAATGACACCCTTAAGGAAATGAAAAGACAGGCCGCAGGCTGGGAGGCACTGTTTGCAGAGCACAGGCCTGGGACAGGGCCCGTGCCCAGAGCGAGGGAGGGGCACGTTCAGGAAGAAGGCCACCTCGCTCACCGCGGGCCACCGGCTTGCGCAGACAGCGCGTCCGGAGGGTAACTCAGCTGCTGGCGGGCACGTGAAAACACGCTCAACGTCATTAGTCCTTCGGGACACGCGAACCAAAGCCACGTGAGATATGGCGTGACCCACGAGGGGGTGGCGAGCATCAGGAAGGCAGTTACCGGCGCAAAGGAGGAGGCAGGGGAGCCGGAGCCGCATCGCAAAGGGCGCATCTCGTGCGGCCCGGCCTCCCCGCCCGCGGGGCCTCCCCGAGAGGACTGAGGATGAGCGTCTACGGACAGGCGTGTTCGCGGCAGTAGTTCCATGACAGCCCTGAACAGGACACAGTCCAGGTGTCCCTCCCCGAGGACAGAGGCAATGCGGGCCCCCCACCCAATGGGACACCAGCCGGCCACGAGAGGGGCGGCACCGAGGGACGCGCCCAGGGCTCCGCGCTGCGCGAGTCCACCGCGCCCCGTGCGGGAGTTCAGACCGGCGGACGCACAGACAGAAGGCGGGCCGGCGGGGGCCGGGGCGGGCGGGCTCAGGGACCCCGGGCTGCGGCGACGGCTGCGCCACCTGCAAGGTCGCCAGAAGTCGCTTCCAGGGGGCACGTGACGCCTGATGCTCATTTCACCTCGACAAAGTCATTTTAAAAATTGTTTTTGTGGCGCTATTGCATTGTATCTGCATTTGTTGTGCTGTTTATTGTGTCAAAAAAAGAAATACATGGCTGTGAATCTAGCAACCATTGTATAGGGCTTTCACGCTGAAAACTACGGAACACTGAAGACAGACACCAAAAAGGCCCAAAGGCACGGGGAGACATGCCACGTTCACGGACTAGGAGGCTCGACAGTGAGGAGGCCCGTTCCCCAAAACTGGTGTCCAGCGTCAACGCGACGCCCGTGACAGTCCCAGCGAGACCTTCTGCGGACGTGGCGAGATGGTGCCAGGGCGTCCGTGCAAAGGCCAAGGAACTTGAAGAAGAAAGCGGGAGAAGCGGCCGTCCCCAGCTGCAAGCTGCGTTGGGGGCCGCAGGCCCCTGCGTGGCCTGTGTGGCTGTGACCACGAGGCGATGGAGCCGAAGGGAGGACCCAGGAAAAGTGAAGCCAGAGCCAGAGCCAGACCCCAGGCGCGCCGGCCGGCAGGTCGAAGCCTGAGCCGAGGCTGCCCCCTGGTGGGAGGTGCTGGGAGCAGGCGAGCCGGGCCCTGGAGCCCTGCTGCTGGCCCAATACCCGTCCCCAGAGGCAGCCGGCTCCAAGGGCCAGTTCCTCCTGTCCCCTTGTGCACGGCAGCAGGGCCGCAGGGACCCCCTGGCCGGCGGGAGAGGAGCCCCACCCCTGGAGCGGGGAAGCCCTGGGGCCCACTCCCAGCTGCAGGCTGGGCTCAGGGTCTGGCCAGAATCTAAGGGTCCGGGACGGCACCCTGCCCGGGACAGAGCCAAGAGCCCGGCACAGGCTCCGGGCAGGGGCCTCCCCGGAGACACGTGACTTTGGGCAAAGCCGCGGCCTCGGTGGGCCTCAGTTTCCTCCCCCGTAAAGCTGCAATAGCTGCGGAACCTGCTCCTTTGAATGGTGCCGGCTCCTTGGTGAGCACCGGCCAGGGGCGGTGGTCTGAGAGCTTGAAATGTGGTCAGTCCCAGTGGGGATGCGTCATGAGTGTAAAATTGCACAGGACTTCTAAGGCCCACTGCCGGAAAAACCCAACCCAGAAAGTAAGCTATTGTACAAACCATTTTATACAATTCACAAGTTGCAATGACAATATTTTGAATGTATTGGATGAAATATGTTATTAAAATTAATTTTACCTCTTGCCTTTTTTTTTTAAGGCAATTGCCAGAAAATGTAAAGCTACCACACAGCTCAAAGGCTGTGGGCACAGCCAGAGGCCCCGGCGACCGGCAGCCCTGGGTGAGCTGGCGCTCCCGGCCCAAAGAGCCGCGCTGGGCAGGATGGGCCGGGCGTGACCGCGGGGGTCGCTGTCCCCGCCTGGGGGCAGTGCGGCCGGGCCGGGTCCCCGCCGGCCGAGATGGAGGGCTGCGGGCCGCCGGACGCGGGTGGGGCCCGGTCACGGGCCGGGTGTGGCGGGGACCACACGTGCACACAGGTCAGCATCTGCGCCCAGAGGCTGCACGCTGTCCTCTGTCTGCCTCCGGGACCTGCGTGAGCTCTCACCCGCCATGTGGGCTCCCCACGCCCAGGGATAGCCACCGTGGCCGCCGAGGCCTTGCAGGCGTCACTGCGCCCTGAGGGCAGGAGCCAGCAGAAAGGGCCCGGTCGGCAGCTGGGTCAGGACACTGTCCCAGGCCTCTGTCGCCTCCAGGGGCTGGGCAGGCAACGCAGAGGGGACGGCCAGGCAGGTGCCCTGCCGGCAGGAAGTGACTGCGGAGGGCAGCCCCGCCCACAGGCTCCCACCTCCGATTCCCTGCGAACCCTCGGTGCCACTGGACGCGTGGTGGCCTGCCCACCGCTCAGCTGCTCCCCCGCAGGGCCCTCGGGGCCCCCAGCCCAGGAAGTCAGTGAGAGCAGCGAGGAAGGCGCGTGGCCAGGCCCTGGGAGCCCGGTGTCCAGCTCTGACCACGAGGACACGGGGCCTGGGCCGGGGGCTCCAGGGGCCTCCGACCTGCTCTCAGGCGGCAGCCCCGGGGCCGGGAGCTGGGGGCTCAGGCAGCCTGTCCGGCTCTGGTGTCCCCCGGCCTCAGGGGGCCCCAGGCACGTGGGCTCATTAGCAGGAGAGGAGGCCGTGCTGGCCTGGGTGGGGGCTGGAGTGGACGGCGGGGCTGCTGACTTCTCCTCGGCTGCAGGCAGGGGTCCCCACCTCTCAGGAGGGTGCGAGGGTCTGGGGCAGCAGAACGGCTTTGTCTCAGGTCGGTTTCCTTTGGATCATGGCCTTGAGGCCGGCCCCTCTGGGGCCATCAGATCTGGCTTCTGGCGGGAGCCCAGGGCCACAGCTGGAGCAGGTGGCCTCGGGCTTTCCGCCGCCCCGGCAGGTAAGGAAGCAGCAGCCCGGGCGCAAAACACCCAGCGCTCCCCGGCTGCGGCCTCCGCGGCGGGAGCCCCGCCGGAGGGGAAGCGGCCCCGAAGCGAGAGGACACGTTCCGGGGAGACCCCCTGGGCTCCCCCCACAGGCGCTGCTGCCCAGGGCGGGGCGCTCCCGGGCAGCGCAGGGTCGAGGCCGCGGCCGGGCTGGGTGTTTTTCCTCAGCGCTGGGTTTTTCCTCTCTCCCCCCTCCTGCCAACACGAAGGCGCCCACACCACGCGCCCCGCCGCCCCCCCGCCGTGCACTGGCCGTCCACGACGAGCCCGTCCCGCCGGCTCCCCGCTTGTCCGCCGTCGCTGGCCTGCGGGCCAGGCGTCCACCGTGCCCGCCCGCCTCCGGCACTGCCTCGCGCCGGGCTGGTAGTTTCTGCAGTCCGGGCCTCCTGCCGGAGCCCAGGGCCCCGCTCGGAGGGACGGGTACCTGGGGAGGGCCCGAGTCGGGTGCCGTAGAAGGTTCGGGAAGCTGGCCTCGGGGGCGGTGCACCTGGAAAATGGGACCGATAGCCCGTGCTGTGGCAGACTCCGCTCAGCCTGAGCCTTCACAAGCGTCCGCGATGAGGCCTGAGGTTCCCCCCAGCAAGCCGTCCCCGCCATGAGCCCCACTTCCTGGAGACCTGTCTGCAGCCAGCCTTCTCTTTGCGGTGTGATGCCCGCGGACAGGCGCCCGGGCTCGGGCACACGGGCTGAGGCCAGGGCAGGGCGCACACGGGCTCACACAGAGGTGAGACCGTTAGCAGGATGCCCCTTGGGGGGCGGCCACAGGGAAAATGACCCACTGGGCGCCTTCCTGGGAGCAAACACAAGCCCCTGCCGCCCCCCACCCCGAGGCTGGGCAGGCCCCCGGGGAAGCCCCCGTTCGCCTGCCGCCGCCGAGCCGCCCGCCCTGCCCCCTCAGGCCGCCCCTGCCCCGCCCCCTTCCCACAGCACTGAGATCTGTGCTCTGGGAAGCCTTTCTGGAACATTTTAGAACCAAAACATTTTCAACCAAACCTTTTAGAAGCCTGGCCCACTCTCAAAGCCGGCCTCTCTGAAACCCGACGCTCTGAAACCCGCTTTTTGAATCTGGGCCTCAACATTTTGAAACCAAAATATTCTGGAAATGTACTGAAAGTAAGATAGCGCCCGTGATGGAAGAAAACCAGCTGAAAATGGCTTCCCGCTCCATCGGACTGCGCAGACCTCCCCGTTCGTGGAATCACGGCTCGCGGGAAGGCCACCCTGCCCGAGCCGACTCTCGGCCGGAGCTCCCGGGAGGAGGGCGCCCCCGGGGCGCTTGCCTGCTCCGCGGGGACACCCTGCAGCCTCCAACGGGGTGGCATCCGATCGGGGAGGAGGCTTAACCCTCCGCGCCGAGCGCTCTCAGCCCGACCTTCTGTCCCCGGGGTCAGCGAGGGCCTGCGGGAGGCCAGGGTGCCTTCGGGCGGTACCTTCCTGCACAGACACCCTGGGCTGGCGCGGGCAGCGGGCGGGCGGGCGGTGGCGTCCCTGGGCCTGTGTCCCGCTGCGCTCCGCCTTTGTCACCCGCTAAGGTTCCCCATCTCCACCCAGCGCCTGTGTGCCCTAAGGGCACAGTGGCCACCGGCCCGGTTACCATGAGAACGGGGAGGCGCCAGGCACCCCAGCCTGGTGGCCGCGTGGCCCGGGGCACATCTCCCGAGGCCTGTGTGTGCCAGGGGCGTCTTCTCCCCACACAGGGAGCGAGGGGGCTGTCTCCCCCGAGGGGCCGCGCTTGGAAGGGACTGGGTCCGCCCGCGGGGCAGGGACCACAGGGTACCCCTCCCAGTGGGCGCAAGGACAGCTGTCAGCCAAGTCGTCATCACTGCGGGTGACAAGTGGGGAGCAGAGTCGATGGCAGAGTGCCTCCTCGGTGCTCCTCTCTCGCGACATCCTCTGTAAGCATTTTTGGCAATAAAAATTGGAATTCAGTTCTGTAAAAAAGTTAAACAGAGAATTACCATGAGATCCCGAAATTCCGCTTCTGGGTCTCCACCCAAAAGAACAGAAAGCAGCCCATCTGACAAGAAAAGGGGAAAAGAGAACCGGAAGCAGGGCTGAGGTGCACGCGCGCGCACCCACACCCACGCTCCCAGCGGCGCGGTTCGGGGCGGGCGCAGCCCCGGGGGCCACGGACCGGTGGGCGGACAGCGGCTGCGCACGCGCACAGAGTGTCGCCCGGCCAGACACGGGAGGGCACACGCGGCGCTGACAGGAGGGGCCTGGGGGGTCCCGTTCGCAGAGGCAGAGAGGCAGGGCCCGCACCTGGGGCGGGGGGCGGGGAGGGACGGTTTGATGGGGACAGTCTCCGTCTGGGGAGACGAGGGAGTTCTGGAGGCGACGGTGGAGATCTCGGTACAATGTGAGGATGCGCAACGTCACTGAACTGTACGTCCAAAAACGGGCGAGATGGTGCGCTTTATGTCGTGTACATTTCAGCACAATTTTAAAAAGAATCAAAGTTCATGCCAATCAACACCAGCACCGCCCCTGCCCCGCAGCTCGTCCAAGAAAGTGAACTCACAAGGCCGACTTGTTTCTTTTTTTCTTGTGAGAAGCCCTTTTTCCTAAACAGGAAGGGCAACCATCTAATGACAGAGCAAACAGCTTTATTTTCATCATTATTATTACTGGGTGGAAGAAGCGTTTTAAAGACCCCTGCTCCAAGTTTGCTTAAAAAACGATCTCTAGCCCAGGGCACAGGCCCCGAGGCCGACCTCGCTGCCCGGTGGCCTCTGGCTCCCTGGGCCGGGCGGGGCTGGGCACCGGGCAGGGCCCGCAGGGGCGAGCAGCCGCACGCAGCAGCTGCCCCGCCACTGCCCGGGAAGGCGATGCCCTAAGTAAGGCGTCCCCCCTGCCCCGGGCGCTGGTCCCCTCTCCAGGGCCCGAGGGAATTCTCGTGCCCCCGCCTCTGCTGACCCAGGTAGGGCCCTCGCCGCCCCGCCCCCGCCCTCGGAAGCTCCTGAAGCATCTCAGGCGGAACGCTGCCCAGGAGCCGGCGCGGCGGCGTGTCTGCTGCACTGCCCGATGCCTTGGAAGGCACGCAGGGAGGGCAGGGACAGCGCCTAAACTTCCCTCACGCCAGCACTTGGAGGGGCTGGCTGACCACCGCGCGGGGGCCGGTCATTTCACCGACGGCAGAGATGAAAGCACAGGAAACCATGCGGCCCAGAAGCCCGGTTCCCCGGCCGCCCTCCCCGGGCCTGCTCTCTCAGCGCCCCGAGCGGGGTCCTTCGTCCACGTGACGACGGGTTACCACGCTATAGAAGGAACCGGGGGCAGGGAGAGAACCTGCTCACAGGCCAGCCTGCAAAGCCCGGGGGCACCTGGCTGACCGGCCGGCCGGCGCCCCCGCCCGCCTCTTGTTTGTAAAGCTTGGCGGTGCCCCGGCTCAGGTCTGAGCCTCCGCATGGCCAGCGCCACGCACCAGGAGGGCACGGGCGCCCAGGCTCCAGCTCCAAGTCCTGGTCGGACGCGCCCCAGGCCCCGGGCCGAGCTGCCGGTTTGCGCAGGCGCCGGCAGAGGGCCTGGCAGGGCGAGGGGCCGCCTGCGAAGCCGCAGCGTGCTGACGAGGGGCCCCGGCCTCAGGAGCGAGACCCTCTGCGCTGAGGGCGTGGCCGCTCTCCGTCACTGGGACACCGGCCCTGCAGGACTGGGGACCGGGGCGGTGGTTGGAAGGTGCAGGAGGCCAGTCCTCAGGGTTCAAGGCCAGACACCGAGCTCAGATGCGCTGAAGCGCTCAAGCCCCGGGCACGTTCCGGCCACGCCCGCAGGGCTCGGGCATGGGCTCCGGGCACTCTGGGCCCCCGCCTGCCCTCACGGTGCGGCCGGCCTCGGCGTGGCTCTCAGTGGTGGCACCACCCAGGGCACTGGGGCTAAGGGCCAGCAGCCCAGGCCGGGTGCCACGACCTGCTCGGCTCTCCGGGGCCCGGAGTGCAGGGTGGGCCGACCTGTGGAGGGAGGGCAAGTGTAGGCAGAAGCAGCAGGCGCCTGCCGGAGCCGCCGGTCCAGGCCCCCCCCAACCCGGGGAGACATGCGCAAGTGTCTCCATCATAGGTCTAGGCTGGTCAGCTGCGCCCCTTTGTGCTTTTAGGTTTGGAGTGTGGGGCGGGCAGGAGAGGACACGCAGCTCACAAATGAATGAGCCACAGCTGCCGGGGCACTGGCTCGGGGCAGCGGGCCCCCTCTGCCTGCGTGACATCTGGGAGCTTGTCTGGTGCTCGGCAGGGCAGGGCTCCCAGGGAGAACAGACCGTCCCGAGCCGCCTGCCAAGAGTGGCACTCCACCCCTCTGAGCGGCCCTCCGGTCCGAGCGGGGAGGGCACACGCAGGAGAGAGCCCCGCGGAGACCCGCCTTCCTCCCAGGGCACGGAAGGCCCCCCCACGGAGGGCTGCAGGGGTGGGGGACGCGGCGCCCTCTCTCTGGGCGGGGCCGGGACCCAGCGGCACTAAGGGAGGGAGGACCCAGGGCGGGGGGCGGGGGAAACAGAGGCGCTCTTCTCCTCTGGGACGAGGACGGACGCTGGCTTCCCGGGGACAGGGCAAGATGCCCTCGCGGGCCACAGACGACACGGCGCTGAGAAAGCGTCCGAAGTCACAGGAGGGAGCTGAGGCCCAGCGACCTCGGAGCCCGGAACTGGCCCCCAGCGGTCGCCTCACTGAAAACACGTGAGGACGACGCGGCCCCCGGGTTCCCGGGCCCGGGGGGAGGCTCTCGGAAACCACCCTCCTCTCGTTCGTTCGTTCGCTCCCTCACACAACCAACAGTCACCGCGTGCCCACGGCGCGCCAGGCCTTGCCCCCCACCCGGGAAAAGTGGGACAGAGGCTCACACCGGAGTCGGGGCTCACTGCCCACACCTGCGGATTCCACTAGAACAAACCCCACAGCTCCGGCCCTGGAGCCTCAGTGGGCTCCGTGCGCGCGTGAAACGGAGCTGCACGGGCAGGCAGGCCACACTCCTCAGGGCACCCGCCCTGCTCGGTCCCTCCCCCCAGCCCTGCGCTCCTAGCTGGACAGCTCCCGCGCTGCCCCGTGTGGGGCTCTGACTGCCCCCGGGGGGCGGAGCCGAGTGAAAGCCCCGCCCTCGCCAGGCTGTGGGTGCCGGGCGCAGGGCGCACCAACCGCACTGCAGAGAGAAGGGAGGCCCTCGCCAAAAACAAACTTAAAATGAGTGAGAGTAGAAATTCCTTCACAAGAGATGATGAAGGCCCTAGGCACCTAAACGTTCATTAGGAGCTATGAGTGGACACACTGTATCCATACACAAAAAAGTAGATACGCTGTATCAACACACGAGAAAGGAGATACACTGTATCAATGCATGAGAAAGTCTAACAGCCCCTTTCAGAGCTGGGAGCAGGGCAGTGTAACACCCACACACCAGAACTGCTCTAAACACCTGCGGGAGGTGCAAAACGCACAGCCCCAAGGCCGAGGTGCAAGTCCAGGGCAGCCACATCCTGTCTCAGGCTGCGACAGGCGCCGTGCCCGGGTGGCCCTGATGGGCAGCGATGACACACAAGGGCATCCTGTAGCACAAACCACGGCAGTGATGGTTGTCCAACATGTGAATGTGCTTAACGTCCCTACACTGAACATTTAAAAATGGTTAAAAAGATAAAGTTTATGTTATGCATAGTTGACTACAAAAAATGGGGGGAAGGTACCGGGTCAGGAGAAAGGTCGCCGCCACCTTCGCTCATCTCTGCATCTGCGCCTCCGCCCGGCAGCAGGCATGGGCGGGGGGCCTGCCCACAGGGCACGCGGCCGCCTCATCACTGGGCCAACCCTGCGCCCAGGAAAGCGGGAGGAAGAGCTCTGAGCACCTCGGCCCTGCTCCGCAGGCCGAAACCAGGCCGAAGCCAGGGCGGCGCCCCCCCCCAGAGGCCCTCGTGCGCCCCAATGTCAGGGCCCCCTGCCTGCCCTCCTCCCTCCTGCCCACGGCCACCCCCGGCCGGCCCCGCCCCTGCACTCCGCTCACACCCGGGGGCCACGGGCTCCCGCAGGCCGGCAAGAGCAAGGGCGCTCGCTCCAAGGAGACCCCACAGGGAGGCTCGCTCTCCAGGGGCTGGGCGTCGGGTCCGAATGCCCAAGACTCGGAGTCAAGGGCAGGCGCGACGCCCAAGCACCACGGGATGACGACACACGTCCCGCTAGACACACGTTGAACTACAAAGGAACTTGTGCCAGGTGTTTCTAAGGAGCCTTCCGGATCAGCAGGCAGCTTGACCGAGTCAGGGCCGTTGACCGGGACGCCCCCGGGGTCAGTGACGGCCTCGAGGGGACCTAGCCAGCCAGGTGGGGGTGGGGAATCACGGCAGGCCTGACCCCGGGGAGGGACCGCGGGCCCCGCTTCCTTTGACTCAAGCTCAGATGTGAAGCCCCGATCTAACCGCTGTCCCGCCAGACACGGCCCCGCTAAAAGGGAGCTCCTGCCTCCTTTACAAACGCAGGCGGGCCCGATCTCGGGCCGAGGGCCCTCGCTTCCCTCGGCGGCAGGGCGGAGGGCGGCCGCCGGCCGTCACACGGCTCAGCCCCGCTGAGCGCGCCCGAATGACCACACGGGCAGGCGGCGCGAGCAGGCGTAGGATTTACTCCATTATCTCCTCCTCCCCGTCTCATATTAAATATCTGAAATATATTAATCTTAAAAAACAGTATTAACACAGTACTCAGCGAATACAGGCAGTGGAGTAAACAAGAAGTCTGGCTGCAAAACCGCAGGTAAATTTAAAAACTGGAGTGTGGGCGGGGCCGTCCGCGCTCAGCACCCCCGACAGGAGCACCGCGGGCCTGTGCGCCACGTGCGGCCCAGGAGGGACACGAGGCTGCAGAGGCCCCTGGGCGGCGGCCCCTGGCTCCTCCTCGGGACGATGGGCCCGGTCCGCTGGCCTCGGGCGCCGGGGGCCCGCCCGCGCCCTCAGTCCCTGAGCAGGTGCTCGGGCTTGGGGTAGCCAAAGAGCACGAAGTCGGCCTCGTAGAGTTTGTACAGCTGCTGCCTCCAGGCCAGCGGGATGTTGGCGAACCAGTCCTCCTCCCAGCTGCTGGCAGTCCTGTTCCGGTAGCTCGGGGGGAAGTGCAGCCGCCCGTCCACCTTGAGCAGCCGCAGCAGCTGGGCGGCGTCCTGGTCCAGGGTCTCCAGCTTGCCCACGAAGTCGTACTCGATCTGGCAGGGGTGGCAGAGCCGGTGCACCTGCCTCCAGTGCTCGTTGAAGGGCGCCAGCCTCTCGGTGCGGGGGTCCAGCAGGTACTGGATGAAGTGGGAGAAGGTGACCCGGAGGCCCGCGCCGAAGGCCTCGCTGACGGAGGCCGGCGGGCTGCTGTGGTTGGCGTAGGCCCGGAGCATGGGCACGGCGAACTTGCGGTAGAACTCCTCGTTCTCCAGCTCGAACTTGCTGCGGAAGGCCGAGATGAGGCGCACGAAGGGGTCGCGCACGAAGAGGAACTTGGTGTACTTCTTCAGCTTGATCTTCATCAGGTGCCGGGAGAACTTCCCGTAGCGGCGCCAGAACTTGTTGAAGGTCAGGTGGGTGCTGGAGTTGTGGACATACTCGCGGGGGATGTCCAGGGGGTCGCGGTAGGGCGCGCCCCGGTCCAGCAGGCTCTCGCTGAGCACAATCATCACGCGCTTCCAGTTGGTGCAGGCCACCTTGGGCACGTAGCAGTAGATGACGCCGTGGCGGTCATCCACGATGAGGTGGTTCAGCTCGTAGTTGGGGATGTCGTCGAAGGAGCGCTCCTTGGCGGGGAACACGAAGCTGGTGTTGGCGCAGAAGTCCCTCAGCACACCCCTGCGCGCCGCCTGCTGCCCGTCGGCGTCCGGGCTCTGCGGGGCGTCGCGGCTGGACCAGTCGTAGCCCCTCACGCTCTCCTCCATGCTGCCCGGCGCGGGCCTGCTGGGGGCTGGCGGTGGGGGCGGCTCCGTCTTTTTGCCAGGCAGGACGCTCTGCCTTGTGCCAGCACCAAGCAGCTTCTCCAAAAACTCGTCCACATCGGGTGCGAGCTCCCTCCCGGCGGCCTGGCCGGGGCTGGGGCGGGGCCCCGGGGTGCGCGGCCGGGAGAAGGCGGCGTGCGGGGAGAAGTGCGCGGGGCCCACGCTGTCCCAGTACGCGATGATCAGGAGGACCATGCCCACGGAGCCCAGGGCCAGCCCCAGGCGGAGCAGCCGCGCCCTGGCCATCCTGCGCCTGGGCCCCGCTCCGGCCGTGTGGAGAGGCTGGCGCCGTGCCCCGGACCTGGAAACGCAACGGAAACCAAGTTAAAGGCTGGGCCCGGCCAAGGGTCCCTCCTGTGGGCTCAGGGGCTCCTTCCGCGAGGCCCTGCGCCTCCCCCTCCCCCTCCCCCTCCCCCTCCACGCGCTGCGTCTGGTTAGGCCGCCGACCGGGGGTCCTGGATCCTCTGTGTAATGTGACTAATGCTGCTCACAAGGGCCCAAAAGGACGAGTGTGGTTGCTGAGGGGACCAGGGGTCCCTTGTCACTTCCCTGAGGAGGCCCAACAAGCCGTCCCCAACAGACCGTGAAGAGGAGGCGCGAGGATGCGGGTGTGGGGCCGGCGGGAAGGTAGAGCTCTGCGCAGCACCAGGTTGGGACTGTGAAGACGCCCCCTCCCTCGCAACAAACTCTTTTCTGTGTCCACTCGATCCCCATGCACACAGGAGACCAGCCCCACTGCGTGGTCCCTGCCCCGCACATGGGGTCGCGGGAGCCAGGGAGGGAGGGTCCGAGTGCTGGCCCCGCCTCAGGTACTCTCAGTGCTCGGGACACAGCAGGGAAGGGGACAGCGTGTCTGCTCAATTGTGCGGCTGAGGAACGCTGGCTATGCTGTTGGGGACCCCGGCTGGGGACGCTGGCTCAGAGAGCAGGTGGCGGCAATGCCTAGGACGCCTTACCCGGTTCAGCTCAGGCTCCGGTCGACGGAGCAGCCCCCTCGCTCCAAGACCTGCCCTCCTACAACTGAAAACTACAGACAGGCGCAGTTACCAAGCAGAGGCAGAGCCTCTGGGGACCTGGGGAGTGGCCCCAGGGGTTTGCTGGGTCCCTACTGTCTCCCATGCATCCCAGACAGGGCGCAGCAGAGGCCACCAGCCCCAAACAGCCACCGGCCCCCGAGAAAACGCAGGCTCCCGCGGGAGCCCAGCCAGAGGACGGGCAGGGGCAGCGCGTGCCTGCCCCGGGCCCCTGGGAGGCACCCCCGGGGCCCTCGGCCGTGCTGCCTGATGGGAGCTCGTTGTAGGCCTGCGGGCCTTTCCCGAGCCACGGGGTCCCACAGTGCAGCTCAGGATGGGGGCCCGGGGCTGCAGTGTCCAAATGGGCTGCAGACTGAGGTCAACCATGGGGGGCGGGGTCGAGATCGACATGACAAGGCTCCGGGAAAGGCCCTGACCACGGGACCTCCGGGGACGTCCCTGGCGAGCCGGGCAGCCTGCACCCGGAGGGACAGCTGGGCTCCCCGCCCCAAGGCGCCACCCCGGCTGAGGCTGATGCGGACGCTGTGCTGCGGCAAAGCCCGGCTGGGAACCCCTATTTCCTGCCGGTGGCAGAGTGCAGGAGGAGCGTCTTGGGAACCGCTCCTCGCCTGAAGGCACCTAACAGAAGCATGTCTTTGGCAACACGCGTTCCCATTAGGCCAGCACCGCATGGCGGGGGAAGGCCGCCCCGTGCCGGCTGCCTGCGCACGGCCTCCCGTCTGAGGGAGCTGTCCCACCACCCACCAGCAGGCAAAATCGAGGAGGATGGGGGGCCTGTGGTGGCCCACTGCGCTGAGCCCCAACATTTGGGGCGCCTTCCGACTGCCACCTCCCATGAGACCCGTGCGAGGGCACCTCCCACGTCTCCAGCAGGCGGGCGGCTCCCGCGCCTGAAGGCCAAGCAGACGCGCTGCTTGACCTGTGTGCGTCAGCGTGACTGTGCCTCGGGCTGCCCAGAGCGCGGGCCCACGTTATTCCCCAGTTACACGGGGGCGAAAGGCCCCGACCAGCCAGCGCAGGACTGGAGGGGAAGGACGAAGTCGGAGGCCGACGCTCCCCGACTTTAAGGCGCACCTGCGACCGTGACCGACACAGCATGGTGCCGGCGAAGCCGAGAAATGAGCGACAGGACCGGTCGGGGGGCCCGGGAACCGACCCAGCACATACAGCCGGCTGGTCTTTGACGGAGGAGCAAAGGCAACACGAGGGAGGCAGGACGGTCTTTCTCTTCAACAAACGGCGCTGGGGCAGCTGGACACGCACGTGCCAAATAAAACACCGAGGCACAGACCTTGCTCCCTTCACAGAAATTAACTTGAAATGGGCCGCAGAGCTGAACGGAGAACACAAAACAATGAAACCCTGGACGGTGCCCCAGGCGGACACCTGGACACCTCGGCACAGCGAAGCCCTTTCAGGTGCCACCGAGGACGCGGCCCCCAGGGGCGCTGTCCACAGCCTCGTCTGTACAAGGAGGCTCACTGCAGCTCTATTCAGAGTGGCCACGGCCTGCAAACAAGCCAGCGGCCCCCCGACAGCGGAGGGCCCAAACCCACCCGGCGCTCGCTCGCTGCGGACCAGTAGGCTGTGACAAGGAGCGGGCCCCGCCTCACGCATCGACGCTCGCCCCACTTGGGTGGTCTCACAGGACGCACGGAGCCAGAGGACTCAGACACGAGAGAGCACACCACGTCGCTCCCTGCACAGGGAGCTTCCAAAGGGCAAAACCAGTGACAGAAATCCTGGGCCGCAAAGGGACCGGGGGAGACTGGGACGGAGATGTTCTGCTACCCCGCCTGTAGGGGGCCCGTCCACATTCGTTGAACGGTGCCCTGGAAACGTGTGCACTGCCCGTCGCCGCAGCGCCGACCCCGGCAGCCGCAGCCTCGCGGGCACGGGCGGGCAGGAGGGGCAGGCGCTCCGGCGCCAGGGCCGGTCTCTGCCGGTGGCCCCGGGACGTGGCTCACGCCCCCGCTTCCGTCCCTCACCTCCAGCACAGGGACCCCGGAGGCCTGCGCCCCCCACGCTGCTGAGGGTAAAGACGAGAGCCGCCCGCGGAGGCTGCGGAGGAGCAACGTGCCTGCGTTGCGTTGAGCTGCTGGCCCGGCACCCCCGCCTTCCGCAGACCCCCGCATCTGTGGCACTGAGAGGCAACACGTGACTTTCATTATTCTCATGATCCCTGCCAGCAGGCAGCTACCCACCGGCAAAGACGGTGGGTCTCCAACAGCCTCCACGGTAGAAGCAGCGCGCGCCCTTTCAGCGGCGCCGCTCCAGGCCTTGCGCACACTAGTTTGTTCAGCCCCCGCACCGGCTGCGATGGAACTGATGGACGAGGCGACGGGCCGGAGCCCACGCAGCCAGCGCGGGCCGGGGCGGCCTCGGGCCGGGCAGCCAGCGGGGGCGCCCGCCTCCCAGCCACCGCCCACCGCGCGGCACAGGCCTCCTCAGGCCACGCCTGTGCCGGGCTGCCTGCTTTTCACTGGACACTCGGCTTTTTATTGCCTTTGCCTCTGAGAGAGTCCACGTCTTCTCGTCCAACTAACCAACTTCTGAGCGCTCACCACGGGGCCAAGTCCAGGTCCCCATGGGGCGCTCCTGACTGGGGGCAGCGGCCGAAAGGCCGGAGACGCCAGCTCTGCAAACACCGTCTGTGGCAGAAATTCCCGTGTCCCCATCAGCGCAGCGAGCAGAACTCCGGACAGTCCCTGCGCGGGGCCTCGGCATCCACCCTCTGCGCCCGTGCCGTCCAGCCCCGCAGCGGACGCTTCGGTGCCAAGGGAGAGCCCCGCTGTGAGGCAGCGCTGTGCGTGGGGCCACGCTCTCGGCGTTATTTGCTTACAAAACTACTTCCCTTGTATTCAGTTTACCCTGCGGACTCAACCCCACAGTACATCTGAACAGAAATAAGTAATAAATGGTCACATTGACGGGAACGGGAGGCGCGTGTGCGTCCCGGAAGGCCTGGATGGAAGTGAAGTGACCTCCCCGCAGAGCCGGCCGGCCGCTCCCCCTGGCTCGAGGCCCCGGTGGCAGCTCAGGGAACGGGACACCAGCACCCGTGTGCCCATCCCGTACTCAGGAGCTGGATTTCGTGTCCCCAGAAGCCAGGCGTTGGGTCTACTGAGCCCTCCACATTCCTGCCAAGACTAAAGTATCTGATGCAGAGTATTTGACTCTGGAATCCAAATAACTCATTTCTCAGCCTTAAGTCAATTCAAAGCAATTATTTCAAGGTAAACGAATGATAATGAATTTCACCGTGGTTATTCAAGAACCTGCCTGAGGCTCTACCTTACGAGCACACCCAGCCTCCAACCTCTCAGCCCATCCACTGCCCGGCCCCACCCCTGCCTGGCCCCCCGCTTCCGCTCCAGTCGTCAGAGCCAAGGGCTCCCCACATCCAGCCCCCACAATGGCCTGTGACAAACCCCGTGGGAGCGGGATCCGTGCTCTCGTCTCTCCCACGGTACCCTCACGGCCCCGCTCAGGCGGCAGTGGCCTTGCTGTTCCTCATCACCACTGGCCAGGCCCCCTGCCTGGCCCGCAGTCACCACTGTCTTCTGCCGGGACCCCGTCCTCTGCAGGGGACCCTGTGGCTCGATCCGATCTGTGTGCAAAGCTCGCCTCCGCAGCAAGGGCTGCCCTGGTCACCCCCGGCCCGCCTCCCCGACCCCCGCACCCCGCGTCACTGGTCCCCTCCCGCACCATGTGCTCACTGGGTTTCTTTTAAGAAAAGCTCAGCTTTCAGGAGGGGGCACTTGGCCTGCCTACCACAGTGGTAGCCGCAAGGCTGAGGACAGTGTCTGGCATACAGCAGGTGCTCAGGAGAGGGTTCTTACGCTAACTAACAAACAGAGAAACAGGGCTGGCCCTGATTTAGCAATTTATGGAACTGGGTGACAGGTAAAGAAGGGTTCACAGTACTATTCTTTCGGCTTCTGCAAGTGTGTAAAAATCCCTTTACAACAAGTTAAAAGAAAAAGAAAGCTAAAGAAAGTGCCAAACCTCCGATATGTGACCACAGCCAGGAGACAGGAAACAGAGAACAATGACGTTAATAAAGAGGAAATATAAGAACAAGTAAACTCCCTCTGACAAGAAAGTGGCTGGTGCATGATCGACCCACACAAACAGGCAAGACCGGGGCCTCTTCTTTCAGTTGAGCCAGAGCCTCGAACAAGGTCTCTGACACGTGAGGACTGCAACTTTGCCCTTTTTTACCAAGGTTACACACACAGGCTTCGGGTTAACACAAGCAGCGCCCCGCCCTGTTCTCCTGCCCCGCCTCCACCCTCCACCCTCCACCCTCCTTTGCAGCCGAATCTCTGGAATCCCTTGCCTCCCTCCCTCCCGAGGCAGCAGCTGTTCTGTGGGGGCCTCCCCTTCGGACTGCCCCACTGACAGGTGGGCAGACGGGGCCCGTTTCCCCCGTGGACCCTCCACGGCCCGGCCCTGTCTCCGCACGCCTTTCCAGACAGGCACGCCAGCCCTTCCACCAGAGCCTCGCGGGGCGCTTGGGACGCGCCCACCGCGTGCGGGTTGTCACAGCTGGCCTGGCAGCGCCCGCCACGACTGTTCTGTCCCGCATGACGCTTCCTTTTCCCAGGAACCAACCACAGCCCTGGTTTCCGTTTGCTTTGTTTTCCGCGCACTTACAGCACCCAGCCCTGGCGCTGCCGCTGTCGGAGTCTCCGCTCCAACGCCCCACGCGGGCGCCGTGGCAATTTCATCTTCCCTCCAAACCTTTGCGAGGATCCTCGGGCCAGCTCGGGCCACGGGGGGCCTGGGGTCTGTGCCTGGTGCCTGGCGGGCAGCCTAGCCTCGGGCCCTCAGCCAGTGACCTTCCCTGTGCACCGAGGAAAACCCTGGCCCCTCTGCTGTCTTTCTGGCTTCACCGGCTCGTTTTGAGGGAGCGCGCCTGCCAGTCACTTCCCTAAAGGGTCTCCAGAGGCAAGTTTGGGGAGCGTATCTGAACGTACCTTTACCCCCTCTCCTTTGCCTGCGCATAGAGTTCAAGATTGAAAATACTTCCCTTCAGAGTTTTGAAAGCCGCTTCTCTTGTCCTCCCACTCCCAGCCTTGCTGTGGGGGGTCCCCAAGTCATTTTGCGCCCCCTGTGGTGACCTGTTGGCGGCCTGCTTTTATTCCTCCTCTAGAAGCTGGCACGATCTTCTTTATCCTGGAGTTCTGAGATTTCACAAGGACCGTGGAGTCGGTGTGCACGGCTCTCCAAGTCTGGGAGCTGATTTGAGGCTCTTCCAAATACAGCCCCTGGCCCCCACACTCACATCAGCCACTGAAATGCAGCTCCCCTCGCTCTGCCTACCCCTGCCCCCCCCCGCTCCCCCTGCCCCCCGTCCAACCGGAACAGACTAGGAGAGTGAGGGCGCCTGCGTTCTCACCCCGGCTGCCAGCCCCTCCGCGCCCCTTCGGCGCAGGAGGGTCCGCTTCCAGGAAGTTGCCTTGTATCGTTTTGTGGCCGATTTCATTCCACTTCCTTCCTTCCTTTCTCTCTCTCTTTTCATGTTCTTCTTACTGAAACTCAGCCTTCAGCTGTCAACCTCCTGATCTGATCCTTTAACTTTCTCTTTTCTCTCATTTTCCCACTCTTTGCTCCTCCGTTCATCTTCCTAAGTTCCTCCTCTTTCTCGCTCACTGGCCCACTGAGTTTTCAATTCTGCCATTTTTCTACCCAAGGGGTTCCTTTCCAGCACTTGGCTCCTTTTTTCAGAGCACCCTGCTTTTGTGTCGCATGTGTAGCACATTCATCGCCGTGTGTGCACGAGGGACTGCTTTCGAGGCTCCCCCTGCACACCCTCCACTGTCTGCACAGTGTTCCGGCCTCCGCCTTCTGAGTCGGGGGGCCTCTTCCTGAGTCCCTGGTTGTCTGTTCCTATTTAAGGGGTGGGGATTAAAGGAGCTTGGAAGCTTTGAACCCCGGGAGGGGGGTTATTCATTATGAGCATCACTCACAAGTGACCTAGCTGGGCCTCCTGACTGCAGTCCCCCAATGCCCCTGTTTTCAGATCTTTGCTCTTGGGCTGCTCAGAGGCTCCTCCACGCTCCTGCCTGGACAGAAAGGGCAGCGGGCCCAGCTCCGGGGCCCCGCACGCCCCCGGGCCTGCTCGGAACCACGCAGCTCTCCCCCGGCGGGCTGGGCCTGGTGCTTTCCTCCCCGGCTGAGGTGTTTTGAAAGTCCTCTCAGCAGCTACAGAAAACCTCCACCCCTCGGTTAACTGCAGGAAGTGTTGAGTTACTGTGTCGGTTACGTTGGGCCCATCTCTTGGCAAAGTCATGGGACAACCACGGCCCAGCTGCAGCCACAGACCTACTAAGTGTGAAACTACCCAACTGCTACTTTCTGAGTGGAAAGAGAAACAGGTTTAACCGACTGACGCCGAAGGTTAAGTCCCTTCTCAGAGGGCGCACTGGCTGCATTTGTTCAGTGGCGTCAGCGGCATGCTCTGGGCCTTGAAGACACTGAAGTCATGAAGGTCCCTGAAAACGGCCATACGACAAAAAGTAAAAGAAATAAAGAAATAACCTGTCTCCTTCCCGGAAATGGCACTTCAGCCTCTTTCTAGAGGAGAATCGCCCGCGGCCTAGGCGACCCTGCAGCCGGGTGACGGCCATCGGTCGGCCGTGCGCGGCTGCTCTGCCGCCGTCCCTCCCGCGCGGCGGGCCCGGGGGTGGCCCGGACACCCCTCCTCTCTCTGCTGGAGCGGATCGGCGTTGGCCCAACGCCGCCACACAAAAACCAAATGCGTTCGGCCGTCCCTTGCCCAAACTCGCGCCCGCGTAGCTCATCGCTGCCACCAGCTGCGTCCTCCAGGCACCCAACGCTCCTTTTCTCTTCCCTTCTGCCACCGCGCGGAGCCGCAGGGCCCATGACCCCCCGACGCCTGCCCACGCCCGGCCCCCACCTCCCCCCACGCTGCTCGCATCCCCCTCTCCGGGGCTGGTGTCTGACACACAGATGTTACCTCGCCCCAGGCCCGGACGACCCCTCGCCAAGGGGTAAAGTCCACGCGCGCACCGTCCGAGGCCCCTCCCCGCCCGGCAGCCTCAGCCTCGCCCGGCTCGGGACCCAGGCCCGCGCGGTCCACGCGCGCCCCGCCGCCTGCCCCCCGGAACGTCCTCCCGCCTGCGCCGCTGTGGGCCCGGCTCCTGCGGGGTCCCCACCGCAGAAACTTCTCCGGCGCCCCTGCCTCGTCGCCGTGTGCGACCGCCCGCCCGGGTGACGGTCGGGCAGCCACACCGCGCGCGCCTCGCCCACCCGCGCCCCGCCGGCCCGGAGGCGCTCCCCGTGAGCTGCGCGGGGAGCAGGGGCGCCGAGGGGCGCGCACGGGGCCGCCGGCCCGAGGGCGCCACAGCCGCCGAGACCAGCCTGAGGGAGAGGGGCCGTCTCCGCGGCCCGCGTCCGTTCGCTGGCGTCCTCCGGGCACCGGCTCGCTCCCGACCCCCGAGAGGGGCCCCTCCCGGGGGCCCTGGTCTGCGCGCCGGTGCGGACCCGCCGAGCTGTCTGGGCCCCGCACGTGGGGCCGGTCCCCCCGCGGGAGGCACCCGCCCCCGCCGCGCCCGCGGTCCCGTCTCCCGCGCGGAACTGCACGGTGCCCCCGTCACCGCCGCGGCTCGCTCTGCTCCGCGCCAGACGGCGCCCCGGCGCGCCCAGGCCCGCGGGCCACGTCCCGAAGCCCCGGCGCCGCACTGGAGGGCAGGGTCCCCCTGCCGGGCCCAGCCGCGGCTCCCACCGCGGGCGAGGCTCAGAGACGGCGCGCGCCGGGCCAAGGTCACACAGCGGCCGGCGCGGGGCTCGGCCAGGGCGCCGCCGGACCCGCTGGGCGGGAGGAGAGGGCAGGGACCGCCTGGCCGCCGGGAGCCCGCCCCGCGCCCCGCGCCGCGCGCCGCGCGCCTCACGCCCCACACCGCACCTCACCTCCCCTCCGGCCGCCGCCGTCGCCGCCGCCTCGCGACCCTCGGAGGCCGCCCCTCCGCCGGCCCCGCCCCCGGCTTCGCAGCCCCGCCTCCTGCTGCTCGTCTCGCGAGAACTGGCGGCCCGTGAGGGCGCCCACCCTCCACGCGCCTGCGTCCTCCGCGCCCCACCCCGCCTCCCAAGCCACTGCCATGTGGCGCCGTATTTACGACCCGCGGTGGGTCCCGCCCCCTCCTCCCCAGCAGCCAATTCCGTCCTGCGGGCCGCGGGGTTGGCTCCGCCCCCAGCGGCTCCGGCCCCCGAGCGGCGGGGAGCTCGGGATGGCAGTCGGTGGCGCCAGCTGAGACCAGGCCGCGGCTGTAGCCGGTGCGTCCCCGCTGAGCAACGCTCAGGCAAGTGCCTCTCCGAGGCCGTCCGCAGCCCGTCGCCGCGCAGGGGCCAGTGAGACCCTGATGAGACGAGGCCCGAGAGCGCTTGGCGCTGTGCGCTGCTGGGCGGGGCGCTCAGGCTCAGCGATTGTTTTCCTGCGGTTAATGCACGTAACGGAGACGCCACCACCTCCACCGCCTTTCAGGGGTCAGCTCGGTGGCATGAAGGGCAGAACTTCCTCACTTAGCGGTGTTTCCTGTGTTCCTGCCCACGGACAACGACGGGCACAGGCCCCAACCTGGACGAGCCAACGCCCAGGCACGTGCAGCAGCGGGAATCGGACCGAGACCTTTCGCTGCGCGAGCGGGGCTCATCGGTCCGGGCGGGGCTGCCTTCTGCTGTGTCCCCTTCGCTCCTTCCGCAGCAGCGCACAGGCACCAAGAGCCCCGCTGTGGGACCCTGGGACGCGGCAGCGGGGGTGCCAGGCAGGCCCTCCTGCAGCTTCACTTGTAACGGAGAGACGACAAAAAAAGGAACGTGCCAACCCGTCCTTTGCATTCAGCCCCCTCCCTTGGCATTAAACAGACAGGCCCCCTCTCCTGTGCCCCTCCAGCTGCCACCTTCTCAGCCAGCCCATCCAGGCCCGTCTCTGTCCCAGGGCTGCAGTTCCCTGAGCCCCGACCCCTCCCCTCCCTGGACGCGGGCTTCTCCAGCCGGCAGGCTCGGGGTGGCAAAGTGCAGGAGCGCTCAAATGCAGAGATACCGGTTACCTTCTGGGTGTTAAATTGGGTGGCAGGTGACAGAATTTGTCGTGTTATTAATAGGGTTCAAAACCTATAGATATGTCAGCTGTGATGTTTTGTGTTTGTATGTGTTTTAGTAGGTGTTTGTGTATCACACAGCTCCAGGTTTGTCACAACTCATAAAGCTGCAGGCTGACAAGGATACATTTTGTCACATATACATTACACCTCCATTAAACAATATTTTTAAATGTAACTTCTCCCAGCCAGCAGGAATTTAGCTCATTGGGAGGAAGTGGTGCAAATGTTCACCCAGCAAGCCTGAGCCAGCGGTGCTCAGTCAGCATATCCAGGAGGTCGGCCGCTCCCAGACTACCCTGAATTGGGCACAGAGGACCACGGGCGCCCCCGATAAGATAAAGGGCCCCCTAGACAAATGAGAGGGGGACACAGGAAACCCAATTCTAATGTCTAACTAGAGCCAGACTTCCCAGCCAGACTCTGCCGAGATAAGGCACGTTGTGGGTTTTGGTTTCCCGGTGAGTTCTCCAGCGCCTGGGAGGGCTGGTAAAGGTGCGTTTGAATTCGGTCGAGGTTCAGGTGCCGGGAGCCAGAATCCCACACCGCAAAAGCCTTCTTGGGAATTTCCACGAAGCTGTTTGGTGAGCCCAGGACAGGCTCAGGAGAGGCGAGGGCCCAAGCTGGGGTGGGGGGGGAGCAAATAGAGGAGTGGCTGGGTAGCGGGGCCCGCGTCCCCTTTTGGGGAGGTGAAATGTTTTGGAACTAGAGAGAGGTAGTGTCTTTTGCATGATCTTGTGAGTGTGCTAAATGACACTGAATTGGTCACTTTAAAATGGTGTATTTTTATCACATCAATTTCACCTCAAAACACACACACACCCCTCTTACATTAGCAACGTAGCTACTTTTTTCCTTGCTCCCCTGGAGGAGCAACATAGTACCTCCTCACAGACAAGGCAGCAGAGAGAATAACCGATAGCCAAAGGCACACAGCTGTGTAAGGGACAGCGTCTGGACCGGAAGCCAAGCTCGCAGAGCCGGAAGCCAAGCTCGCAGAGCCGGAAGTCCACTGCACTGCAGTGACGCCATGACCTGGAGGGCACCTGCTCTGAGGGTCTGTGAGCTCGGTGGCTCCTCCCTGGAGACGCCCCCATTGTGACTTCCACCTCCTGGCTCAAGGCCTGGGACCCCCTTCCAGCTGGTGGGCCCCATCTGGCTGCCTTTTCCAGCAGTAATTTCATTGGCTGCAGCGCCCCCCGCCGTCCTCTCCCTGTGCAAAGCCTTCCCCAGGGCTGACCCCAGTCTCAGCTTCCGCCTGAGTTATTGCGATGGCCCCACAGGCAACAGCGAGTTCTGGTTTCACAACCAGTGTTGCAACGGAAAAAAGAGAGAAGCTCCGTAGTTGGCCAGGGAACGTCAGCTCCCACCGCTGGGGCAGCTGCGAGGCCCCGAGTCCTCGGGCGCTCGGGTCCAGGGATCCCAGGGGAAGGAAGGAACAGAGCCGGTGTGAGCATTGCAGATTCAACTCGCCTCTCCTGCGGGTGACGGGGACGCGGAGAGAAAGGACCCGAACCTACCCAGCAACCCTGAGCTCACGCCCTCAGCCCCACCCAGGGCCCCGGAGCATCCGCTGGCAGGGCGGGGTGGGGTTGCAGGGCGGGGTGGGGTCACACTGGGGAGGCAGGAAACTGGCCCCGAGGCAGGCGCTCACCGTCCTGCGGGACCTGGGCAGGAGCTTCAGTGTCCTGTCCCTTCAGTGCCTCAGGTGATGCCCTGGCGCCTGGGGCAGCTCTGCACACTGCCCAGCCGGTGTGAGCTGTGCCGGGCCAGGCTGCAAGCCTGCTGGGGGCCCTGCCAGGCTGTCCCCAGCCGACCGTCCAGCCCTCTCAGGCAGGCCGCCCCCTAATCTTTCAGCTCCTCCAGCAGCCTTTGCAGGGGCTGAATTTAGCGAAGACCTAGAGGGCGCCGAGCTGAGAACCATGTTATGTCGTTCCCCTCAGGACGGTGAGACACCACCACTGGATCGTCGTGAAATCCAGACAAAGTGCCCTGGGTTCCCTTCCTTTTACATCCGGGCAAGTGCTCGACCTCTCCGAACTCACACAGAGCTCTTAGCAAAGAGGCCCAGGCCCGGGCCGGAGTCCCCGGCACCAGCAGCGTCCCCAGCAGCAGGTGGTCCAGGCCCACCTCGTGAGGCCGTCCTGCCCCAGCCTGGGCCCCAAGGCAGACCCCCGGGGGGTGCAGGAGTTTATCTGGGAAGCACCGGCTCTGGGGGCAACAGGGCCGCCGTCCGTGGGGTGGCCCACCAGCGTGGGGAGGCTGGCCCCCACCCCACGGCGGGCGGCAGACGCCCTGGGGCTGTGCGGTGCCGGGCTCTTTGGGGCTGCGCGCGGCTCAGAAGGCTTCCTGCGCCTCGCACAGGGGCTGCACCTGGGCCGCAGGTGCACACAGCGGGGCCCCGAGGAGGGCCAGGCCTGCCCGCACCTGGCCTGTCCTCCCGGCCAACCTGCGCACCTTCGTGCAGGACACAGGGGCCGGGTCCACATCGGTTTCCGCTGCTGCCTGGCAGGGCTCGCGAGTCCAGAGAGCAGGAGACGGAAGCCGAGGCCTGCGTGTGGGCAGGGCCACGCTCCCCACCCGCCCCCCCCGCCCCGCCCCGCTCCCCAGGCGCCGGGGGAGGGTCCTTCCCACCTCCTCCAGCTTCCGGGGGGCCTGGCTATGCTTGGGCGCCATAGTCACAGGGTCATCGCCTGTCTGTGTGTTTGTGTCCTCTCCTCTTTCGAGGACACTTGTTTGTGGACACGGGGACCTGCCCTAAAACCAGGATGATCTCATCTTGAGATCCTTAACCAATTACATCAGCAACAACACTATTTCCAAATCTGGCCACATTCTGAGGTTCCAGGGACAGGAATTTGGCAGAGGAAGAGGAAGATGACCCTCTGGGCCTCGAGCCAACCTTCCAGGAAGGGCGGCCTTGCTGAAGGCCAGGGCGGGGCAGGGCTCTCCCTGTCCCAGGAGGCCCGGGGCGGGGGCTGCTCCCCTCCCAGCACACCGCGCGCTCTCGGAGACGGACACAGAGGTCCACATGCACACAGATGCACACGCGCGCTTGCACAGACACAGCCTGCACGTACCACACGGAGACCCGCTCACATGCAGACAAGGCGCCGGCGGGCACACCGCAGGCCCACCCGCAGCCCTGACCGGGGACACTGAGCTCCCAGAGATGTCAACTGCGGCCCTTCCGCTCTTGAGCCAGGGGGCGGCGGGGGGTGGGGTGGGGTGAGGCCTTTCCGAAGGGGCGCTCCAGCCCGTCCTCACGGCCTCGTCCCCGCCGGCCGGGGCCTTGACTTCAAAGCCCAGCACCATTTCCGCCCTCCTGTCCCGTGTCCTGGGAACCCTCCCAGAAATACGCCAACCCCATTTGTGTATGTCCACGCGTTGTCCTCCTCCAGGCCCCAGATCACATCGCGCGTCCTGTTGTGAACCTTTATTCTCGCCGTTGGTGAGGCTGGGACAGCTGCCCACACCAGCAAATAATAGAACTGGGGCTGCTTTAAAAGCGATGAATGTTTCACACTAGCTCGTCCACAAACGGTAAAAATCCAGACAGTTCAGACATGGGTACAGGCCCGCCCACTCCCCTCGCCGCCACCAAATCCCCTCTGCGGCCAGTCTCAGCCCTGTCCTGCGACGCCTACAGGTAGGCGTGGCCCAGCCCCCGCACCCGTGCACACAGAAACGTGCGCCGATGCGTGCCTGCACGTGAATGCAGACTCCTGCCAAGCCTTCCTCGCCCACACCTTTTCCCAGCTCGGCGAAAGAAATGACCAAAGTTACAGCTCATGAACACAGCTGGAGCCTGGACTTTCTTCCGTGCCTGGCAATGCCACCCTGCTCCGCGTGGTCAGCGACGTTTCCCTCTCCGCGCACCTGGGCAGGTGGGTAGGTCACGGGAACGGGAGAACACACCCGTCTCCCCCCCATGCTGGCTCGCCCGGGAGCCTGCGAGCCCATGGGGCGGGGACGGTGTCGCTGCAGACTGGCCGAGGCTTGTGGGACGTTAATGTTCTGCGTCAGCTTGGCTGGGCAACAGCACCCGGGTATGTGGTCCTACGCCAGGCTGGACGCTGCTGTGAGGCTATTGTTTCGAGTAGATGAACGTGACCTCGGCGAGAGGCTTTGAGTGGAGCAGATGCCCCTCGGGTGGGGGTGGGCCGCGCCGCGTCAGGCGAAGAAGGGAGAGAAGACGGCCACGGCCCGTGAGGAAGAGGGTCGCGGCCTCCAGGCACCCTCGGACCCCGGCTGCAGCCTCAGCTCTTCCCTGGGCCTCCAGTCCACCCTGCGGACTCGGACCGCCAGCCCGCAGTCACAGCGGCCGGTTCCTTCGGATATGTCCCCCTCCCTCCCTCCTCCCTCTGGGGGGCTTCCGCAGCCTCAGCCTGAGCTGAGAGCCAGGGCCTGGCGTCCCAGCCACAGAGAGCTCGCCCAGCCGGGAGCGGGAGCCGGGAGGTGCGGCGACGTGGCTCTGAGCGCCGCCCCGGGGAATCGGCCATAAAAGCCAGAGGCGTTCTCTCTGTGAGGACCGGGAAAGGGCCCCGACACACCGTGGGTGGCCTCCTTCTGAAGGCGGCTGCTGGGTGCCTCTGGGGCCAAGGGCTGTCCCCCAACGTGCCCCTGCCAGGGCCCCCGCCTCTCAAATCCAGCTTCAGGGCAGAGCCCCGCGTGTCTGGGCCTGTGTCTCTGGCCTCCCCGGCTCCACTGCCGCCTTCACTCCGGTCTCCTCCGCCCCTGGGCGCTGCCGCCCTGCTGCTTGCGAGGGCTGCTGGGGCACCGCGGGCTGTGGCGTCGGCCTCCGCTGTCGGAAGGCCCTGGACGGGGTGGGAGACACTGGTCTGTGGGCAAGGCCAACTCCACTGAAGCCGGGGTCCCCGCTGGGGTCGCTGCCCCTGGCCCGGGCCACCCCCCGGGCCTGTGAGACGCGACCGCCCCAACCGGGAGCCTCACTCCTGAGCCTGTCTTGGCAGCTGCTGCTCTAGTAACACCGGGCCAGCCCGCAGGCCGCCCGGCCGTCTTGCCCACGGTGGGGGACACGCAGGCTGGGCGTATGCTTCCCTCCCTCGCGTAAGACACGCGAGGCCTTGACTGCTGGGCGCCGTCCTGCTCTGGTCTGGGAGCTCCTGCCCCAAGGCCATGGCCACTCAAAGCCTGTGAGAGCCCCTCCCCGAGAACCCGTCAAAAGAAGGCACAAGGACAAGAAGTTCCCATCTGGAACCGTGAGGGGTGGGGTCCAGGCACAGCGAGGGACTGAGGGTGGACGCAGGGAGAGCTCCCTGCGGGGGACCGGCCCTCCCTCCCTCGCGGCCGCTGACGGCCCTCTGGCGCCTCGCACGGATTCTCCCAGGGCTTGTGCGCTGGCTTGGGGGAGAGGAAATGGGGCCACGGAGGCGGGAAATTTCCTGTCCCCAGGGAGGGTCCAGATGACAGGGGCCTCATGGGCTGGGTGGGGAAGGCGAGTGTGAGGCTAAAGGGACCTTGGCCATCCCTCGCCGGCATTCAGCGTCCACCCGGGGGACTTCAGTGCCTTCTCCCCTCAGGGCATAGAAATGGGAGCCGAGGAGGAGGAGGAAGGGGCAGAAGAGAAGGCCGTGGCGCACGCAGACGGGCTGTCCCGTGTTTTGAGGACGAGCCCAGAGCTGGCGATGTTTCCGCAGGACTCGCTGGCCCAGACGCTGCCGGTGGCCGCGCAAAGCTGAGCAGGTCCCTGGGAGGCCGCGCGGCCAGAAGCCCTTATTAGAAATTACACAGACAAGCAGCCTTGCTTTTGAATGCAAGGGCGGTGTCATGCTCTAGTCCTGTGCCGTCCAGTTAAGGAGCCAATGGCCACACGTGACCTCTGCGGGCCGATGAGGGTGTGCGTGGCGTGCGGTCACACCCCAGGTGACCGTGGACCTCCCACTGCCCCGACATCTCCTGCGGAGGCCGGCACGAGGGGCTGGGGACCCCCTGACCTCAGACGACCCGGGGCGGCAGCGGTGCCCGCTGGGGCGGTGCCGCCCCCCCCCACATGGCACTGGGGCGGGTGGAGCTGACCTCAGGCCCGAGGCCCGCACTGTCATCTAAGCAGTGAGGCCAGGGAGGAGGAACACGGCGCTGAGGGCCGGGCAGCGGGCTCTAGGAGGAGCGGGGTAAGGAAGGAGGGGCGCGGCACTGGGAGTGCCTGCCGGCCCTGGGCCCACGCTGGACCCCTCGTTGGTGGCCACAGGCCGCCCGAAGGGGTTCGTTTTTACATGACCTCCAGCCAACAGAATCGTCCATTCATCCGCTCACTCGCTGGCTGGTTTGTTCCCTCACTCACTGAGTCGTTCACTCGTTCACTCATTGACAGGTTCATTTACTCATTCACTGATTCATTTGTTTATTCATTCCCTGTTCAGTTTACTCATTCATTGATTCACTCACTCATTCGCTTATTCATTCACTCATTCATTCACTGATTCATCCGTTCCTCTCTGGTTCATTCACTCATTCACTGGTTCATTCATTGATTTGCTGAGCCATTCTTCATGCACAGGTTCGTTTACTCATTCACGGGTTCATTCACTCATTCAGTGATTGGTTTACTCATTCACTATTCATTCATTCATTCACTTTGGTTCATTCGGTCATTCGCTGGTTCATTCACTGATTTGCTGAGCCATTCCCTCATTCACAGGTTCGGTTACTCATTCATTAGCTCATTCACAGGTTTGTTTACTCATTCACGGATCCATTCACTCATTCACCGATTCATTCACTCATTTGCTGAGCCATTCACGCATTCACAGGTTCATTTACTCATTCATTCACTCATTCACAGGTTCGTTTACTCACTCACTGATTCTCTGATTCACTCACTCATTCACTCACTCACTGACTCATTTATTCGCCTGCTCATTCACTGGTTCATTCTCCGAGCCGCTCACACGCTCACTGGCCTGTTCATCTGCTCACCCCGCTGAAGGAGGCTCACTGAGCATCCGCCCTGTGCCAGGCTCGCGCAGAGAGCCGGGCACCCGAGCAGCGCCGCCCGGCTGTGCCCCTGCACTCCGGGGCCAGGATGGGGAGGCTGGTGAGCCGAACTGGAAGGTCCCTGAGGGCAGCCACGGGGCATGGCTGCTTGGCGGTGGCTGGTGGCTGAGTCCACTCTGAGGGTCCTCAGGAGGGCGCTGTCTGTCCCCAGGCCGTGCCCCCTGAGAGGCTGGACCCCTGCGTTTCACCTGCATCTGGCCTTCCCCGACGTTTTAAAGCACGCTGCTGGTCGGCCAGACGGGGCCTGGGCTGCACTTGGCTTGGGAGCCGGCAGCGATCCCTGCTCAGGCAGTACCTTCTGAGCTGCTCTGGATGGTAATTAAGTGTGTCTTACGGGGCCGAGGCTCCTCGCCGAGCAGTCCCCAGGCCGCTGTTCTGGGGGGCAGCCTGTCTGACTGGGCGGTTGTGAAGGCCCCATCCACCCCAAGGCAGCAGGGCGTTCACGGCCGTGCCCCGAGGCGTGACGCCTGCGGGGCTTGGTGGGGGCCCAGCGACGCCCCAGCCCAACGCCCCGACGCGCAGCCGGATGGACCCCAGCACCCCCGCCCCGGGCAGCCCCCCCGGGGAGCCTCCCAGCCCGGTGAGTGCATGGCCCTCGGGCTCCCTGGGCAGCTCCGTTTTCAACCCAGGCCTGCCCGGCGCCCGCCAGAGAAAGGGGACACCTGGGCCACCCCAGCTGCCTGCGGGCCCTCGTTGGACACCTGCCGAGTATGGCTTTGTTCTGTGTCCAGCAGAGGCAGCAGCCACAGCGGGAGGGACGCGGGGGTGCCGCGCCCGCTGGGCGTCGGCCTGCAGCACGTGGCTGCCACTCCCCCCGCCCCCGTTCCCCCTGTGAGCGGCCGGCCTGCGGCTGCCGAGGGGCCGTCGACTCTCCCCCCTCTGACTGTCCTACCACAGAGACTTGCGGATGCAAAGGCGGGGACCCTGTCCCCTCGGGGGGCCCTGTGCAGGCCCCGTGGCGGGAGAAGGGTCCGGCCTCTCCTTTCCTGGGAGCCCACCCAGGCGGCAGGCTGCCCGCACGATTGGGTCCCGATCCCACTGTGGGGCTAGAACATACCCGTGCGTTCCCTGCCGCCCCCTCCTAGGCAGCCAGACTAACGGGGACAGATCAGCGTGAGAAAATGGAAGCCTGGTCCCTGCGCACGGGGACGTCGCATCGACTGACAACCCATGAAAATTCACGTTGGGGCCAAGGAGGAAGCGGGGAAATAGTGTCAGACGTCAGAAGCAAGAGCAGGTGGCTTGCAGGTTGTTGAGGAGGAAGGAGCACAAGGCAGGAAACCCCCCCCAGGGGACTCAGAAACTGGGGCACGGCTGCCTAACCACCAGGCCCGGCCTGGCCCGCCTGTGGACCACACCTTGTCCACTCGAGGCCGTCATTGTCCTGCGGTCTCCCAGCTGCCACAGGTGCCTCCGCCTGAATCTCTTGGGCAGAAGCGGGGCAGGTCAAATGTTCTTCCTAAGTCTTGTTCCTTAATACACAGCGTAAATGAGTGAATGGATCAGAGGGTGGAAGAATGAGCACATGAATGAGTCAGTGAGCGCGCGAACCAGTCAGTGAGCGCGTGACTCAACCTGTGAGCGAGCGCGTGCGTGACAGAGCGAACGAGTCTGGGAGGCTATGTAAAAACGATTGTGTCTTAAAAGCAGCTCCGAGGGGCAGAGCGTGGGTCCCCTGGCCCGTGGACATTGCACGGCTCTCTGATAAGAATGTGAGTGCAGGCCACAGCTGGACAAACGAAGAGCAAGTCTCTGCGGTCACCGGATGCCCTGTCCCGGTACAAGAGAAGTCAGCCTTTTCAGACAAAAATGGGGGACAGGCTTGGCCCCTGCAGGTGTCAGGAGGGCACGTGTCCTCGCGGGAGCCAGGCCGAGCTCCAGCCGGGCTCAGGCTTCCCCTCCACGCTGCCTGGCTGGCAGTTGTTTCTGGGAATTTCGTGCGCCGAGAGAGCACATTCCTTCTCCACCGTGCAGGCAAACGCAGGCCAAGGGGCACACCTCTGGAGGGGACGGAACCGCTGGGGCTGCGGGGGGCTGACCCGGGAGACTAGAGCCCCCGGCTGAGCAGAGACGTCCCCTCTGAACCACTGTGGCCGCCGGCGCCGCCCCCCCCCCCCGCAGTATGTCACGGGCACCCAGAGGGCCCTCCCCAAGGAAGCCACTGTCATTCCACCCCCTCCACCGAGGGCCTGCAGCCGGCAGGAGGCCACGGTCACCCTGCCCTGCCGGGGAGGACAGGTGCTGAGCCCCAGGCTCCCCCCGCCCCGCCCGCCTCTGCGATTCCCTGCTGCTCTCGAGTGTGGGAGAAAAGCAGTGAAAGCTTCTGAAAGCAGCAAAGCCCAAGAGGGATTTGCACTTAATTGTTTTCAAGGTGCTGTGGTTTCCAGGTGCTGTGGCAGCGCTTCCACCGGCCGAGCCGAGAACCCACAGGTAAACCTGTGTTGACCTGCACGAACGGCGGGTTTGGGGGAGGCCCTGGGCAGCGCGGGCGTGAAGCAGGCTCTCCAAGGAGCACGCCCGGCGGCGAGACAGCGTGGGCGCGGCGGCGGCCGCCATGTCCTTGAAGTAGATGCCCCGTGCCCAGGAGATGCGCCCACCCTTGACCCACGAACACACACGCCCACAGAACGAGACATGAAAGGACGGCGGGGGGTGCGGTCAGGAGCGGGGGGTCGGGGGTTCCCCCCCCCCGGCTTCGGATCCCAGCTGTGTGACCTCGGGCCAGTTCCTCAAACCCGCAGGCCTCACTTTACTCATCTGAACAGTGGGATTAACAGTCGTTCCTTGCCTCATAGAACGACCGGAAGGACAAACGGACCGACAGCGGAAAGGCGCCGGCACGCGGGGGCACAGGGTACACGGGCGCGCTCGCCGTGCCGCCAGCGAGGGAGGCCAGTTCGAGGCCTGCTTGCTGCCTGTTTCCTCCACTCGATATTGGACTGATACTTTCATAAATATAATAGAAATCAATCACTGGAAAGACGAAGCCAAAATTTTTTACAAAATGGAATCCAGCCCCAGCTGGTACGGCTCAGTGGACGGAGCTCCAGCCTGCGAACCAAAGGGTGGCCGGTTCGGTTCCAGTCAGGGCACCTGCCTGGGTTGCGGGCCAGGTCCCCAGTTGGGGGCACACGAGAGGCAACCACACATGGATGTTTCCCTCCCTCTCTTTCTCCCTCCCGTCCCCTCTCTCTAAAAATAAATACATAAAATCTTTTTTAAAAAATAAAAAATAAATAAAATAAAATCTTTTTAAAAGAGTGTCACCGAGACCCTTTGCACAGGTCCACACTGTCCAATATCCTGAGAAAATGACTCAGATGAAGAGCCGTTCGTCTCCGGAGGCGGAAGCACTGTGCGTAACCGCCTAAAAGGAGGGACAGCCCGCGTGGCCACGTAACAGGGAACAGGAGCCACAACGCGGCCCCCGGCTGGGACCGCGCGGGCCGGCCGCCGCCCCCCCCCCCGGCCCCCGCCGTGTTGCTGGTGCGAGGGCCTGTGTGCCCAGGGCCGACCCGGCGAGAAGGGAGCGGCCCAGGGCGGCCCGCCTGCCTGCGAGCCCTGTCAGCTTGAGGGCTTTGGGACCAAGCGCTGTAGCCTTCTAACGTTCGGAGGCAAACGCTGTGAAGGCCCCGGGAATGTCTGGAACAACGCTCAGAAAAGCCGGGTCAGAAACGCCGACGCTACCGGACTCCCCCACAGAAACCGCGCGGCTCAGGTGACCGCAGTGTGTCCAGGGCCCTCCCCACCCCCACGTCCGCGCCTGCGGCCCGGGGACTGGAGGGCCCGGCAACGTCCACCCACCGACTCCGCGCCCTAGGTGAGGAGGGGGACCGCTTCTTGCTGGCCTTCCTCTCCGCGGAGCCGCCCCCGCCCAGGCTGGCACGGGGCCACCTCCTGTCCTCTGGGCTCAGGTCCCTGGAGTCCGGGGCCCCCTCCTCCGGCAGGCGGAGGGAGGAGCGGCCACTGCCCCCGCCGTGGGCCTGCACCCTGGAGCGCCAGGTGGCCACGATGAGAGCGATGCTCTTGGTGCCCGCGGCCATCTCCGCGAGGGCGGCCGCCGCTGCTGTCCTGGGGGGCCCCGCTCCGGGCTGGCTGGCAAGCGCAGCTTGGAGACCCGGCTCCCCGCACTCAGGGAGCCGGACTTCTGCAGGGAACCAGCACTGGTGGGGGTCAGGCAGGGCCCCAGAAGGAGACCCAGGGACTGTGACTCGGCCCAAGTTGTTTATTTTGGGGGAAAGACTGCTTTGGTGGGGGACAAGGACCAAGGAAGTGGCCTGCAAGGAAGCCAGTTCCTGGCCTGGGATGTCCTGCGAGACAGTACAGCTCTCAGGCCTTGGGGTCACCGCACCCGAGGGCTGAAGGGTCGAACCCAGAGTCACAGACAGGGGCTTCTCCCGGGGGACCTCACTCCTGAGCTCTGCCACCGGGGGGGGGGGTGGCTCCGCAGGGAGCGGGGTGTCTTCAGCCCAGTCACCTAGCTGCTGACAACCATTGTGATGGCTGCTTAAAGGGAGTCCTCCTTCCCGAAGCTTCTCTCTCGCTTCCCCTGGCCCAGCACAGCCCTGACCGGCCCCTGACGCCACACGCACCCACCTCGCGAGCTGGCGGCAGGAGCAGGATGCGGGAGGCCGGCGGCGGAACGAGGACACCCTGCCTGCCCGGCTTTTTCGAGGGTGTGGCTTTTGGTGACTTGTAGCCATTGCTGGGGAGGAAACAAACACAGGCCTCCGCCCGGCCCCTCTGCCACCAGCTTTCTGCTGCGGCCACAGGCCGGGCCGGGCTCAGGGCCCAGAGGGGGCACCCCGCCCCGCCCACTGCGTGCTAGGGGGCACACCACCACAAGGGGGACCCGCGGTCCCAAGGCCTGGCCGCCGGCTGCAGCCCCACCTGCGGCCAAGAGCAGGTGATGCACAGCAGGCCCACCTGTCTGTCTCCAGCAGCATCGGCGGCAGCTGAAACTGGGCACTGCACAGGGGATCCTTCCCGCCGTCCAGCTCATCTCGGCTGGCCTCCTCTGGCGGCGGCGATGTGTTCACAACAGGACCATCCTGGGGCCAGACAGAGGAGCTGGGGAAGGCAGCATGTCCAGCAGAGGTCCCTGACAGGCCACGGTGAGGTTCCGTTCCTCCTGGCCACCACTACCTGACGGAAGCCGCCCCGAGACGAGGCGGCCGGCAGCCCACTCCCTCGCTCCGCCGAGCCCCCACGGTAGACAGCGAGGGGGCCTCTGTGTCAGAGCGAGCGCCGGGGCACAGCCATGTGACCCAGCCATGGCACTCGTGGGCGGGAGGGACGGGCTGACCGCCCCGAGCGCCCAGACACTCACCCACAGGGCGCTGACCATCACTGAGTGCAGCCGCAGCAGGCGGTCCAGCGAGCCCTCGCCCCGCTCCTGGGAGTACAGGCTGTAGCGCTCGGCCAGCGCTGCTGGCACTGGGAGGCCGCCGTCTGCAGGGGCCGGGGGAGGGCGAGTCAGGCGCCCAGGGCGGGCTCCCCTCGGCTGTTCAGAGGTGACTCCTCCCACCAGCCACGAGAAGCCTTTCCCGAGGCGGGGTGCTTCTGTGACTGTCCTCTGTGTGCCTGATTCTATTTAAAAATTTCCTGTTGTGTTCACGTTCGTCACTAAGTAATAGTCACACCTCTAACGCCTAAGTAAAATTTAGTTTAGCAGTTAAAGAGCCTCTCCTAGGTTGACACCCAAAAGAACCAAACACAGGTGTTCTAACAGCAACTTGCACGTGAATGTTTGCAGCAGCGTATTCACAATCCCCCGGAGGCGGAAACGGCCCAAGCAGCCACCGGCTGACGAGTAGGAACGAGGTGCGACCTGTGGATGGGGTGGGGTTCAGCCGCTACAAGAGACGAGGCGCTGACCTCGCCACAGCCTTGAAGCCGTGACACTGAGCCACGAGCCGGACACGAAAGGTCACAGGCTGTGATTCCACTCGTGGGAAGTGTCCGGAACAGGCACATCCAGAGACGGGCCGTGGATCGGTGGTCGTGGGGCAGGAAAGGGCGGGGAGTGAGTGCCTCGTGGGGGCAGGTTCTTATGACCCAGCAGAAACACTGTGGAGCTGGAGGCGGCGGCTGCGCAGCGGTGCCCTGAGCCTGGCTCGTGCTGTGGTTACGGTGTGATGTCAGTTTCACCTAATTTTTTTAAAAGAAATTAAAAATGTGGCACGGTTATAGCTTTGGCAAAATCGGATTGCTGATAGGCGGGGGCTAAAACGGAGGTTAGGTTGTAAGCAAACGATTTTCCAAAACGTTCTTTAAAGTTTTAGAGCGTTTTAAAATAATGTCCCTTTTCCCCATCGTAAAAGCCATGGCAGATGCCTCTGCAAAGGAGAGCTCATTGCTCTGAGTAAGTGCTGACGGTAAACTGTGACGATGATCTGAACACACCACGCTCCTCTCAGGTCCGGATGCTACACACACGCACGCACGCACACATGGGCACAGACACACATAGTTCTGTCACAACAGAAAGTTAAAGAAGCTGCGGGGGGAGCTCAGAGGCGGCAGAGACGGAGGGCGGTCCGGCCCCGGGGCTGGCCGCACAGGCCGCAGGAAATCTAGATAGTCCCCGGCAGGGGGCGCAACCCATTGCCACGTCTCCGCGGCTGGCTCTGAGCCCTGGCAAAGCAACGGCGGAGACGCACAGTGAGCGGGAGAGTGAAGCCGAGAGCTCGAGCACGGCCAGGCCTCGCCCTGAAGGAGGCGCCGCTGGTCCTGGATGATGCGCTGGCACAGCCGCAGGTGCTGGTGGCAGCGCCGGAGGACCAGGTCCGTCTGGCCCAGCAGGCTCTCCCTGCGCCGGAGGCTGGCCTGCAGCCCCATGTTCTCCGCCTCCAGCGCGTGGGCGCGGCGCGGCAGCCTCAGCGCCTCCCGCTGGTCCTCGCTCCAGCCCGGCCCGCAGCAGCTGCTCCGGGGGCGCGGCCTCGCTCTGGGCGCTGGCCAGGCGCTGCCCCAGCGCAGCCTGAGGGGAGACCGCACGCTCCGGGCCGCGCCGGGCCGCTGTGCCACTCCCGCCCGTCTGGATGGGCTCCAGTTTGCAAATCGCACCCACAAAAACACGCAGGTGACAGCGCCCCTGCGTTGGCCCTGCCTTTACCCTCTGTGTGCGGTGCCCTGAGGCCTGGGCCCTGCTGACCGGGGCCTGGCCTCCCAGGGCCGGCTGAGTCCCAGAGACAGAAACCCCCCGCCCAGGAGCACGCCTTTCAGAGGCAGCCCCCCGGCCCCGAGCCCACGCGCCGCCCTCCCTGTGGCTCCCATTAGCCGGCCACTGTCCACCGGCCCTCGCCACCTGGGGCCGGCACCAGGCAGCGAGGGGCAGCCCTGTGCCCCGGAGCCCGCGGAGCGAGCCAATCAGCCTCTCCTGAACCCGCTCACCTGCCTCACCTGTCGCTTCCCAAGGGGGAAAGGCTCTGTCCCATGTCCCACCCCACCCCCGCCCCCGCCACCAGCCGCCTGACCAGCCCTGGCGCTTCCCCGCATAGCGTAGCGCACCCCTCCTCTCGGGGACTGTGAATAACAAACTGCCCAGTTAGCACGTCATCTCTGATCAGCTGGCCTTGCTGTACGATAGACCTCACATTTTCTGTTAAAATGCTGTACTTTAGAGCATACCCCCAGGGCTAGCCTTCGCCACTCCGTCTACTACGGGAGACCCCGGCTGCCCATTCGCACGCTCCTGGAGCAGACTGTGAGCCTGAGTCACAGGGACTATCCTGTGCATCTTCAAGTCCCCGGGGCCCAGCCCTCGGCTAAGCCCTTAAAACACCGGGAAGGACGGACCGAATGGGTCCTGGCCGCACGTTGCCGGCTGCGCCGCGGAGTCCCAGCACCTGTGAAGGCCGGGCTCCCGCCAATGCGCAGGACCGTCTGGGCAAAGCCCCTCCCTCTTTCTAAATGTCGGAGGACTTGCGAGGTGAGAGCGCGTCCCCTCCCCCCTGCGGCAGCAAACACGGGACAGGAAGGGGCTCTCAGTTTGGCTACGGCTCTGGCTACGTGTCTCTTAAGCGAAGCATCTGCTGCCCGCTGTGAGCCGCCTGCCGTCGCCGGACCTGGCCTCCCCTTGCCTGAAACCACACGGCCACGTCGGGCTCGGGGTGGGATGTGGCCGGTGCCACGGGCATCCACCACGGTCTCCGTTGTGTCACCGGCTCCTGTCAGCCGCTCGCCCTTCTCAGGAAGCCAGGCTGCGAGAAGACTCACTCTCCCGAGAGGAGCCTGGAGGCTCAGTGTCCTCTGGCCACGCCCCCGCCACCTGTCCTGTGCCCCCGGGGCACCGGACTTGGAACCTGTGCGAGATGCCGTGGGGAAGCACCGAGCAGGCGCAGCCGCGGCTCTGCCGGCCCGGCGAGGGGCTGGCTGTCCCCCACACACAGGCAGCAGGGGTCGGGGGACGGGACGCCACGCGGCTTCTCCTGCCCGCGGCCCCCGGGGCGGCTGCCCTGCAGCCGCGGGGCGGCCATTACTCCAACACGCAGGGGCGGGGTGCACGGTCAGGCCCGTCCGCTCCCTGGAGACTGGGGACAAGCTCTCCAACTCTCTGAACCCCGGTTTTCCCGCACGCAGCGGGGCTGAACGTGGCCCTGCGTGGTGGGGCTGTTGCGAGCTGGCTGGTGCCCCAGCAACGCTCAGGAAACGTTGGTGACTTGTCACCTCTGTGTCACACGGGCCTGCCGGTCCCTCTCCCCGCCTTGAGGGCCGCGGTCCTCTGCTGCTCGGCCAGCAGCGTGCTGACCTCCTCTCTGGCCAGGGCCACCTCGTGTGGCTCTGCGGGCCCGCCCTCATCCCGGTCCGCGTCCTCTGCGGCGGCCGCCTCTGCCTCCCGGGCATGGTGGTGGGTCTTCTCTGGCTCCCAGCGGCCGCCATGACAGGGCCAGGGGTCAGAGGGCAAGCCACAGCCGGACTGGGAGTCCCCGTTGGCACCAGCGGGTCTACTTGCAGGCGTGGGCATGAAAATGGGGCAGAATTGGGTCTGCCATCTGATCTGTTCTGTACTCGTAAAAAACAGACGTTTCGAAGAAAAGCTGGAGAGGATAAAGAAGCAGTGAACATCCGCGCGGGGTGCCCCGCGACTCAGGACGCTGCCGCTGGCCCGGCCCCTCCCGTCGCCGCGCCCAAGGCCTCCTCTCTGAGCCCCGCCCCTCAGCTGTAAAACTCGGGGGTGACAGCGCCCCCTGGCGTCCCGCGATCTCAGGGCAAAGCCTGCACCGGACAGAATCTGAACCCGCAGGGCAGCCGCCAGGGCGCAGCTCAGGGTGCGGGCTGGGGACGGGGGCGGCGCGGGGCGGGGGACAGCGACCGCTTTATGAGGGGTTCCCGGGGTGCGGGCTTCCTGTCCAATCAGGCAAACCCCCGCCACGGAGGAGACGCGGGGCGGGAGGAGAACCGACTAAAGGCAGGGTGGGTGCACGCAGGGCAGCCGTGGGTGCAGCCTGTCCCGGGCGCTGTGGTGGCCCCGCTGTCAGTGCCCACAATGCCCCCGCCTCCCACGCGTCCCTGCCTGGGTGCCAAACCACACGGTCAGTCCCCACAAACCACACGCACGGGGCAGCCTGCTCCCAGGAGGGCGGGCAGGGAGAATGCGGGACAGTCCAGAGAGCCCTGGCCAGGGGAGCCAGCCTGTGAGGGAGAGACCGGAGCGGCTGGGGGCGCTCTCCGCCCGCTCCCGCCTGGGAGAGGGGGAGCCCGTGGCCACAGTCCCCCAGGGGAGGCCCTGGCCGGCGGCTCAGTTCATTAGAGCGTCCGCCCGACTCACCAAGGCTGCGATCTTGATGCTTGGTCAGGACGCACACAAGAAGCAACCAATGATTTCACACATAATGGAACAATAAATCAGTGTTTCTCTCTATCTCTTTCCCCCTTCCTCTCCCTCTAAAAGCAATCAATAGAAAATTTTTAATAAAAATTAACAAATAAAGCCCCCCGTGGGGACCCACAGGCCAGCGGCCCCCCGCCCCCGGGGCGGGCGGTGCTGGGGCCCCGGCGGGGCCCACGGGCGGCGCACTCAGTCCGCGACGGCCAGCAGGGGGCGGGACAGGCCAGCGTGCAGCTCGAGGTCAGCGTTCGCCAGCTCTGCCTGACGGCGCTGCACCTCCAGCTGCTCCCGAACGGCCCCGACCGGCTGGGCCCGGATCCTGTTCCTCTGCAGGCGGCTGGCGTCCTCTGTGTCCTGGGCGGCCGTCGCAGCTGGGGGCCACAGAGAGCCGGCTCTACTGAGAGCAAGGCCGCCTGAGCCAGGGGGAACCCCACGCTTGCCACCAGAAGGGGTCGGGCCTGAGGAGGAGCCTGATACACCCGCGTGGGTGGGTGGGCAATGGGGGGGCGGTTGATTGGATGGATGGATGGATGGTGGGTGGTGGGTGGTGGGTGGGTGGGTGGGTGAATGGATGCAAGAAAATATTTGCAAACCATGCATATGCTAAAGAGTTAATATCCAAAAATATATAAGGAACACACACAACTTAATAGCAAAAACCAAACAATCCAATGTAAAAAATGGCCAAAAGGACCTCAATAGACATTTTTCCCCCAAGAAGCCACGCAAATGGCCAACATCGCTCCCCGTGGGGAAACCACGGGGCGGCAGCACCTCGGACCTGCGGGAATGGCTCCTCTCAGAGAGACAAGAGGGACCAGACCCTGGCGAGGATGCAGGGGGCGGGGGGGAGGGGCTCGTGCACTGTTGGTGGGAATGTGAACCACCGCAGCCACCACAGAGAGCAGTATGGAGACTCCTCAAAAAATTAAAAAGCAGAGCTACCATAAGATCCCGCAATTCCTCGTCCGGGTGCCAGCCTGAGGGGATGATATTGGTACCTCCAAGAGAAACCTGCGCCCCAGGTTCAGCGCGACATCGTTCAGGACAGCCAAGCCCTGGCGGCAGCCCCGTGCCCGCGGCGAGCGACGGGGTAGACAGTTACGTGCATAGCAGGATACGCAGCGCACGCGCGCGGCGTAGTGGACCCCGGTACCCCTCGGCCCCGAGAGAGAGGGCCGCAGGCGACAGCACCCACGCACGCAGGCCCCGAGGCCGACCGAGAGCCCCGCGCACGCTCACACCACCGCATGCGGGGATTTCGAGAGAAGGCCGCTGGCGAGCCCTGCGGGGGGTGGGGTGGGGAGGGGACCCTTTCACAATCGATCCGCGTGTCCGTTCGCCTCTCGGCCTTCTGCAGCCTGGCGTCCCGGTCACGCTGCTCCGTAAACAACGCTGTTTACTCCTGGGCTGAAGGGGGAGGGGAGGCCTGGCGCTGGGGAGGAACCCCAGAGCGTTAGGGCCACACCCGCAGGCCAAGGGTCCCACCACCGGCCACTGCCTGCCCCCACCCACCCCGCCCAAGGCTTTGGGAACACGTCCTGGGAGGGGAGGGCTGCCCAGGGTTCCCAGGAGGGACGCAGGCGGGGGGCAGGCCCTGGGCCACCCCGGCCTCTGCCCAGCACTTTCTCCATGACGTAAGCCAACTTCTGATTTTCAATCTTTTTCATCTCATGGCGCAGAAGCGAATGCTGAAATTCTGCGGCTCACCGAAAAATACATTTTTTGCCAATCTGACAAAAAATAGGTATAATTTTGATTGCTTTACAAAAAAGATGAGAATAGTAATTACCTACTCTTTCTGCTCTAAAGTGACTTCTTAAAAAAGCAGGTGCTGCCCTGGCTGGTGTGGCTCAGCGGATGGAGCACCAGTCTGAGAACCAAAAGGTCACCCCTTCGATTCCCGGTCAGGGCACAGGCCTGGGGCCAGGTCCCCAGTTGGGGGCGCACAAGAGGCAACCGATAGACATACCTCTGGCACACACATCGATGTTTCTCTCCCTCCCTATTTCTCTAAGTAAATACATAAAGATCTTTTTTAACAAATCAGGTGCTGCCCCGACCGGTGTGGCTCAGGGGTTGGACGTTGTCCCTTAAAGCTAAAAGTTGTCGGTTTGATTCCTGGTCAGGGCGCAAGCCTGGGTTGCGGGCTTGGTCCCGGAGAGGCAACCAATCGATGTTTCTCCCCCTCTCTGGGAAGGGAGGGAGGGAGGAAAGAAAGAAATCCTAAGGCACTCAGGTGCCTACAGAAGGAATTCTGGCACAAGGAATCAACCCGTCAGCGGCAGCCTCATTCGTGTGGCCAGTCCGGCGCGCTCCGTATCCGCCCTCGTATTCATGGTTCAGGGCAGGGCGTTCGCACCCTGTGGCCATTGTTAGGGTGGCTGCTGTCATTTGTTTACTCAACAGCCTCAGGGAAGAGAGCGTATTGCCCCTGACTAGTCAGAAGTTGCATGGTTTAAGAATTCTCGGGGTGTGCCGGGTAGAGGTCTCTGCCTCGGGACAGGGGACCCTCGCTGCGCGCGCCGGGGCCAGGCCTGCGCTGGAGGAGGGATCGGCCAGGCACCTGCCGGGCCCCGCCCACCCAGCCGGGCCCCGCCCACCCAGCCCGGCCCGGGGAGGGGGCCTGGCCCTGAGACTCCCCGCGCGACACGGGCTGCGGAGGGGCCGCTGGCCCTCCCTGAGCCGTGAGGCGGCTGCCTCCTCGGGGTGGCAAAGGGCGCGTTCCGACCCACGTGTGGGTGCGGCCAGAGCCTCCATCACCGGACCGGACCGGACCCGAAGTCACCCAGGCACAGCGGGCTCCCACGGCAGAACAGGTGACACTGTCGAGGCCAGCGAATGACTACATTTGCCTTCAAAGTCGTTCAGGAGGACACTCCCTTCCTCCTGTGAGGAGGGGCGGCCCTGCCCCGCCGCCAACGCCAGTGCCGGCGGGGTCGCACGGGGGCTTCGCCTGCAGGGCCGGCTCTGCGCTCCCAGGCAGTTTCCCGGGAAGCCGATGCGGTCCACGCTGTTTCCACATGAAGACGCAGGAACGCGTCGCAGCCCGGGGGACCCTTTCCTGCGGACGTGTGCTGTGCGTCACCTGGCGCCTGTGCACCCCGCGCCCCGCCTGAGACCCTGCTGCCCCGACACTCCGCCTGGGTGTCCCGCCCCCGCCCCCGTCCTGGGCCCTCTGTCTTCGGGTGCCGATATGCTCCCAGCACCTCTGTAGAGCCACCTTTCTAACGACAAATGACGAACCCAGGTCACTTGACACAATTTTGTTTCACCTCGAATTTGGCAATTATTCTGGCAAGCGACCACCAGCATTTCTTAACTGCGCCGAGAGCCCAGCTTCCAAAGAGCGAGGGCCCTCCCTTGGCCATGCCGACAGCCGCGGGTCTGCATCCTCGGACCACGGACCCGCGGCTGCCACCAGGCCTGCGGACGGTGCTCGGGCCGCGCTCCCCCGGCTCCCGCGTGAGGGCCCGCCCCGCCTCTCGCCTCCCCGCGGGGCATGGGCTGCTCTTGGGAGAGGCCCCCGCCTGGCCCCGCGGCGCTGCCGCACCCTTCTGTGCGCCCGGAACGCCGACATCACACGTCCATCGGCTCGCTGCTGGACCCCACTTGAGAGTGGGCTGGGGGCGGGCCCTCGTCCCCCTCCCGGTGATGCTGAGCATGCCGGGCACTTCTGCGACGGGATGAGCGAGTCCATGGAGACGTGAGTGCGCAAGTTAATGGGGGAGCCAGCAGCGAATTAACGCGGGAGCATGAATAACCGAGCGTCTGTGAGCAAGCGAGGGAGCACCTCGCCCCTCTGGTGCTCCCCCTGGCCAGGCCCCCTCTGCCCCCCGGCCTCGCCTGGTCACCCGCTTTGTGGGCCATGGCGGTGGCTCCCTCCTCCACTTCTGTGTCACTGAGCGGACGGATCCGAAGCGCCACCTGCGAGCAGGACGCCCTGTGGCTGCGGCCAGCCGGGGCCTCGGTTTCCCCCTCCCTCCCCGCCCCCGCTCTTGACGGAGTGCCGAGGGCCAGCGAAGCCTGCGCCCCTCCGCACCTTTGCTCCTGCACTGGCAGGGTGAGCCTGCTCACGCCCCCCAGGACCCTCAGAGGCGCCCCACCAGTCTCAGGCGGGGAGACAGGCGCTCGCCCGCCCACGGTCCCCAGCGGCCAAGTGTCCCGCCCCTCGCCTCGTCCCCCTGCTCTCAGAGAGGACCCCTGGCCCCGGGGCCCATCCCTCCACCTGCCCTGCCCCCTCAGGGGGCCCCAGGGAGGCCCTGAGGGACTGCAGGACTTGGGCCCCTGCAAGCCTCTGCTGTCCCTTTTCTGAGATGGGAACAGCTCCTCCCTGGGAGCCGCCTCTGGGTTTCGGGCAAGGCCCGGCCCAGCTCACCATCACCCCGCAGGCGGGTCAGTCCGGCCTCGCAGGGCCTGCATGGGACCGGGGCGGGGCCTACGCCCCAGCTGGGGGCCCTGGTCCAGGCCCGGAGCCCCCTGGGAGGGAGAGTCAGGGGGCAGGGCGTGAAGGGGGTGGCGGGAGAAGGGGGGCTCACGACACGCCCATGAAGGAAGGCGGGGAGGGTCCTGCCCAGGGACCGGGCGCTGGGGGTGGTGGGCCAGGAGGCAGCCCAGAGCAGAGGGGCAGCCTCGGGCACACGATGCCCTGCCTGGGGCCGCCGGGCGACCAGAGGGACACTCACCATGAGCTGCCGGTCCCTGGGTTCCATCTCCTTCGTGGTGGGGCTGCCCCGGGCGGGGCAGGGTGGCAGGGTGGGGGGTGGGCGCGCGGCCGCCAGCCCGGCTGCCTGCCGCCTGCTGGCCCCGCTCTGGAGGCCGCCGGGCTGGCCGCCCCGCCCCCTGACATCAGCGGCCCCGGGAGCCCCGCAGGCCCTCCGCCATCTCCCCGAAGGCTGGCACTGCCCCCGCGCTGTGGGTGGGCCCCGAGCAGCTGGGCGGCCCAGGCCCGGTGGGCTCCGGCTGGCTGCACACCCGGCACGTGGTTACGGCCCCAGACCCGGTCCAGCCTTTCTGCCTCTGCGCTGATCTGACACCATGGCAACCCCAGGGGTCCTCTGTCCCCACGTCGCCTGCTCTGCAGGTGAGCCTGCCTCAGACCATCGCCCTGGCCACGGCCTTGGGGCTCTTCCCCGAGACGGGGATGGACGCCACCAGCTGACATTCAGTGACATGTTCCCAGCTGGGAGCGCCCACCCAGACGAGTTTCTAAAGCACCCGTGCAACGGCCTTTGGTGTCGTGGACGAGGGCGTGGCGGCAGCCCCTGCCCACGCCGTCGGCCGGCCAGGGCCCGGGGGTGCCGACCGCTGCAAGCCTTGCTGCCCGTCTCAGGCGAGGTGCGAGGGCGCGCGCCCCACAGAGCCCTGGTGATGCTTGGGTACCAAGCAGAGGCGGGTCCCCAAAGTTCCTGTCGGAGATGCCAGCCCCAGGGCCAAGGGTTGGCAGAGGCCCACACCAGTGGGGCGGGGCCTCAGGCTAAGGCTGCTGGAGGTCCCAGGGTGCCCCAAGGTCCGCCAGCCTGGTGGCCGAGACCACACAGGTGGTGGCTCGGGGGCCTGGGGCCAGCTGGTGCGGGGCCTCTGAGGGGAGCGAAGACACCGCGCCCCTCCCACAGCCGTGCCCCTTCTGAGCAAACCCCGCACACCTGGGCGGGCAGCCAGGGCTGTGCCACCCCTCCCCCTCCCAGGCCAGGCGCTCTCTACAGAGGACCAGCCCTGGAGACCCACGTCGACGGTCGATGGCGCGGGAGAGCTGGGGCAGTGTTCCAGAAGCCTTTTATTGACAGTTTACATCAAAGAACTGTAACTGGCAAGTGTAAAGTCGTGAAAAGCTGGCTTTTGGGAAGCTGACAGGGTCTGTGCCACCTCCTGCTCACAGGCACGCACAGAACCGGCAGCGAGAGGTCTCTGCGTGCCTCGCCTGGGGGAGACCAGAGAACGCCCACAACACGTGGACAGACAGGCCGAGGCCCGGCCAGCCAGCAGCACGGAGACTTAAGCCTCACAGGACGAGTACACATGGTCTCTCTGGGCACCTGGAGTCGGCGGGTCCGTGGCCGGCAGCCCGGAGGCCAGCGGTCACGGCAGCCCGAGGACAATGGCAGGGGCCGGCCACGCCCTGCCAGGACAGCTGATCATCCAATCAGACGCCGTCACAGGCGTGCGCCCACCCCGGCCGAGTCCCAAGGACTGTCCCGCAGTGGTGTGTGTGAAGAGCTAGGCCGCCCCAGGGGACGGGGATGAGGCCAGTGGGAAGCCGCACCCTGGCAGGTCACCAGGGGGCAGCAGGTCACAGCAAAGGAAATGGGCCCACACACACGGCTTTGTCCACTTCTTGGTCAGCGGGGAAAATGGCTTAAGTATCGAGGGATCACAAAACAGCAGCTAAAGGGGCAGCTCCTCCAAGCTCGACACTGCGAGGGAGGCGGAGGGGCTCTTCCTCGTTGGGCTCAACGAGGAGCCCACAGAAAACCTGCAGCAGCCAAGGGGCCGACGGGATGATGCGTCCCTCTCCGTGGCTCAGCAGGACAAAACCACCCGGGGGGTGTCCCCGCCTGCCACGCCTGCACGTGACGGAGCCCGGCAGCAACCACCCCCACTGGGGGCAGGGAAGAGGCGCCCGAGCCCGGCCACCACCCACTGTTAAAGACTGAGACACGACGTGTTCACACAGGTCTGCTTTTATTTCCACGTTTGGCCACTGAACGCCTGCAGAGCCTGCAGGCGGGGACCGCGCAGCTGACATGCTGCTCCCCAGCTGGCACCGACGCCCGCAGATCAGAGGAGCCCCCACAAGGAGGCCAGGCGGTGGACAGTCACTCGGCAGTGCGGCAGCAGGAGGCGGCCCTGCCACGGCACCAGGCCAGGTCTCAGCAGCGAACGCTGGTGGCGTGGCTCGGACACCAAACGCGAGACTGGAAGCAGCGCCGCGACACCGCCCCCGGGGGGCCGGGGTGAAGGCACGACTGGAGACGGGGCCTCCCGGGGGCGGGCAGCGCCGGGCAGGGCGGCGCAGGCGCGGCGCAGGCCGTCCGCAGGGCCGACCCAGCTCCGCCACACGGTGACGCTGCAACGAGGAAGGGGCAGGCTCTCGTCCCGCACTCGGCCACCGCGCGGCCCGCAGCCGGCGCTCCCGGCGGGCAGCCCGAACCAGCCCTCCCTGCGGCGGGCGCCGCCCCCAGGTCACTTCACGCTGAGGCCTCTGCTGAGAGGCGCAGCTGCGACGGAGCAGCACCGTCGCCAAGGGTCCCGCGGGGGCACCGGTGACCGAGCCCCACACCCGCCAACCCCGCGGCGCGAACCCCTGGGCCCCTCCCCATCACCGGGGCAGCCTCGGGGTTCCTGGCCGTGCGGGACCAGCTTCGAGGGCTCTTGCCTCAACCCTGCCTGCTCCCTCCACACCCGACCGCACCAGACGCCCAGGTCACATGCAAGGACCCACGGCCAAGAGCACGGCCCTAGGCTCCACGCGCTCCTCAGACAAGACGCGCCCTCGCGCGTGGGCAGAGGCGCCTCACCACAGTGCTCTCGGTCACTCCTGGCTCCCGAGGGGGATGATCTCTTCAGTGACAAAAAACTCGATGGTCTCCTCCTCCCAGTCCTCCACGTTGCTGTCCAGCTCATCCGTGTCCACACCTGGGGGAAAAGGAGAGGCTCCAGCGGGCGGCGGGGTCTGAGGGCCGCGGCTCCGACGTGCAGGAAGGCCGCGCAGAGCACGACTCTTCCCGCGACACCTGACGTCTGTTGAGAAACCTGGGCAACCCACGCCTGGACGCCCACGGCGAAGAGCGCCGTCGCGTGCTCCCGGGCTCCGTCACGCTACCTCCACGCAGCTCCAGGCGCTCGTTCTTCTGCTGCATGTACCGCTCCTGGGCCGTCAGCCGGTACTTCCGGAAGTCCTCCATCATGGTCCGCCTTCTCTCCACCAATTCCTAGCATGGGGGCGGGCGGCAAAGCCGACACTCACCTCACGCCCTCACGATGCCGCGGAGCCAACGCGGAAGCCTGTGTCGGCAGCAACCCCACGCCGGACGGCCTAAGGGCGCTCCACTTAAAGGGAGGCTGCCCGCAGAGCGGACCGAGCGCCGGACTCCAAAGCAAAGGGCCGCCGGTTTGATTCCCAGTCAGGGCCCAGGCCTGGGCTGTGGCCAGGTCCCCAGCAGGGGGCGCACGAGAGGCAACCACACACGGATGTTCCTCTCCCTTTTTCTCCCTCCCTTCCCCCCTCTCTAAAAACATATAAACAAAATCTTTGAACTTAAAAAAGGAGGAGACTGCCCGGGCAGGCATGGGGTTGGGTACCTGTTCTGACCGTTTCCCCCTCACTGCCCCCATGCCCACCGCCTGCACGCGAAGAGCTCCGAGGGTTGCGGGGCCCGGGCCTCGCAGCCGCAGCCCCCACCGGCAGCACAGCACGGGGCGCCCTCCCTGCACAGGGCCCCCGCGCCCCCCGCACCCCCGGCCCCCAGCCAGGCCCTGGCCCCTCTCCGCCCCGAGGCGGCGGGGTCGCGGGGGCCCGTGCCCCAGGGAGAAGAGCAAGGCTGACCTTTGAGGCTTTGGACTGACTCAAACGATCCTTCTGTTCAAAGATCTTGGAATATTTCTTCAGGTCTTTTCTAATTTGCTGGAACAAAGACGAGTCACTCAGAATTCACATGCAAAGCAAGAACCCCCAGTGCAACTGTGGAAGTCACAGACATGAGGTGGCTCCCTCCGCCTCCCGGGGCCTGCGACATCCGCCCCGAGGCCCCTGCTGTGCAGCCCTGGGGGCGGTTCCCCAGGCTCCCGTCTTCTACTCCCACCGGGGTGTCGTCGCGCCCCCCCCCCGCAGCCCCGCCCCCGCCAACCTCCTAGAACGGTGCTGGCGGGACCTGAAACCCCCGCAACGCCCTGGGGCCTGACCGGGGCCACCCTTTATTCAGTTGCCATGGCGAGCCTCTCTTCCACAGGGCGCCCAGCGCTGCCCCCGCCCCCGCGCCCCCGCCCCCCAGGCTGGTGCCAGACCTTCATCTGGTCCTGGCCCAGGAGCGTCGGGGGCCGGGGCCGCCACAGCAGCTGGCAGAAGCGGTCCTTGCTGTTCTTCTGCAGGAGGCGCCCCTGGAAGGTCCACAGCCAGTAGGCGTTGTCTACCTACAAGGGACAGAGACTGGGCTCAGCGCACCGGCTCCAGGGCACGCCAGGGGCCCGCGCCCTGCTGCCGCACCGGGGCGGCCAAACCTGCCCGAGGCCTCCGCTTGCATGGAGCTACGCCCAGTGGGAGCAGGGCGGTCGACACGCGAGACCCACCAGCGGGCGCGGACCACACGGCGCACACGCACGGCGGCTCCGGGAGTGCTGGCCACACACAGGCTCTCACTGGGCCACAAGAGACCCCAATGACGCCCCCAACTCAGCTGCCGTCGGCCGACGCCATCTCGCGGCAAAGTGTCCCTGGAGGAGGCGGCAGTGCCCGCCCTCCCCTGCCAGACCGCGTCTCAGACCTGCAAGCCGGGCGCGTGTGGCCTTGCTGAGGCCTCGACGCAGGCAGGGCAGCAGGTCCTGGCCGCAGCATGAAGCTCTGACTCAACGGGTCGTTTGCAGGTCTGTGTCCCTCCAGTTCGTGTCTCCAGTAAGCAAAACGAACTACCTGACTACAACCCCCAGGCCCCAGACAGCGAGGGTCCAAACCAAGAGCCGCTCTAGAGGAGCTACACCGGGACACACGGGCGAACCCGGACGCGCCTGCCCTCCACGCGCGCGCCCCAAGCTCAGGCCGCAGTGCGCAGCGTGGGTGAACTTAAACCGCGGTGAGGGCTACAGACTGCGAAGCGGGGCAGCCCTGGCTGCTGCAGACCACAGTGGCCGGCACTCGGGGGCAGCAGGCCGGGACATGGCCTGAGGCTGCCGCCGCCCCAGGTGCTCTGGCCAGGAGCACAGGCAGCCCGGCTCACAACGGTGCGCAAGCGACTCGCAGAAACCATAGTCCAGGCTTCGAGTTGTGAACCTCCCCGGGGTCAGCGCTGCGTGGCACGTCCTTGGCGTTTGGGGGCGTGGGCGCTCACGTCAGGGAGCGCCGGTGTGGAGGCAGCCGGGGCTGGGCGCACAGCACCTCTGAACTGTGGCACCAGCAGCAACGCTGCCTGCCCGCCAGCCGCAAGCACGGTGCAAGGCGACCACACCACTCCGGGCGCTGCTTCCATGGCAGAGGCCGCCGCCAGCCCGGCAACAGCCGGTTTCAGAGGGGTGACGCGGCCGGGCCCCCGTACCTTATGGCTCCACCAGGACACAGAGGTGACGACGTAGCGCCCGGTGGGGTCCCACTCCACGTCAGAGGCCATGTAGTGCTCGGCGATGTTCATGACGGTGCAGTCCGAGGCGTCCACGAAGGCCAGGGCGCCGTTCATGCTGGGGACACGGACGGACGGTCCTCGCCAGGGCCCCCAGGCGCAGGCCTTCCCACGCCCGTGCCTGAGGCCCTGGGGACATCATCTCACAGGACGCGCTCCCCGCCCCCGAAGCCACACGAGTGTCTCCAACAGAAGGGGCCAGGCCGCCGGAGGGCGGCTGCGCGCTGGACCAGGGCGCTGCAGGGTCCTCACCGTCCCCCACGCTGCCGGGGGAGCAGCTAGGTAGGGGCAACGGGTGGGGGGGCCTGGGGGCCGTGTTGGAGTGTTCGTGGTCACGCCCCTGCCCCGGAAGGCAGGCTGGCACTGTCAGATGGCCCCGTCTTCCTAAAGGAAGTGGGGACGCACCCTGGGGCACTGGTTCGCCCGGAGGCATCCGCCTCACCTCCTCCCAGGGCCTGCCCGGCGAGTGCGGGAGGCACCCGCTTTCACCTGCCGGGTCTCGGCCCCACGCAGGAGCACGGCACGCGTTCACCCGTCCCATCAACTGAGGCTGGGACGACCCTCCCCAAGAGAACACGCAGGTTCTCGAGGACTCAGCGGTGCCACCACTCAGACCCCAGCGCAGGTGGCACGGGCCTGGGGCCGGGGTTGGCGCAGCGGCCCCGAGTGCCGCTCAGGGACCGGAGGCAGCCACCCACCTCCTGAGGCCGGCCAGCACCACGAACTGCCCCTGCGGGCTCCAGAAGATGGTGTTCGCCTGCTGCTTGTCAAACATTTCTGAAAGGAGAGAGCGCCCACTACGGTTGAGCTGCAGACTCCAGGGCGGGTGTGCAGCCAGGACCGGGGGTCTGGCGACGGGCCCACACTGCCTCACGGGTGTCTGCCAACGGGCTCTTGCCACGCCCCTGTGCTCCGTGCTGGGGAGACCCGCCGGCAGCCACCCGCGAGCACACCTGGCGTTACAGCCTAGGCTAAGGAACGGGCGCGGCGCGCTCAAGCCGTAGTGCCGCTGTTAGCAAGGCATCACGTTCAAGCAACGTTCCACGTTCAGGGCAATGCACTCGGTAGCGTAGACAAAGGCCCCCTGTTGACAGCAAGCACCGCTCCTGGGACCCCACGCCAGGTGAGGACTGCAGGCGCCACCTGACTTCGGCCCACACGCTCATGGACGCCCACCCCTCACAGCTCGCTGCCTGTGCGGACCTGGCACGGAGCCCAGCACCCTAGCTCTGCCTGATGGGGGTTGGGGGGGGGGCTGCAGACCACAACCAACAAGGTGTGAGCAGCTCTGCGAGGGCAGGGCACAGCATTCGCGAGGGGCCCGCCGGCCGCCCCGCTGTCTCCGCTCCCACCAAAGGAAATGAGTGACACAGCCTGATGGCGGACGGCCCATCGGCCCATCGGCTCTGCGAACCCCACCCTGCCTGAGGCAGCGGAGGCTGAATTCTGCACAGGGTTGGCTCAGGAAAGCTGTTCCTCTCCCCAGTCCACGTGAGTAAAACCATCTTTGTGGTCACGCGTCCTGTGTGATGGACGTCCCAGGAGCGCGTGGGGAGTGTGAGCGTGGCTTCACCGCGTCGCCCCCCAAAGCGGGGCGACGTCCCAGCACCTCAGTCACATGAAAAAAGGCCGTGAGGCCGCAAGCAGCCCCCGACCGCGGCACTTACTGAGGCCCTCCTCTGTGCTGGGCCCTCAGGACGCAGGACGGGAGCCCCGCCAGCCCAGGGGGACGGACCAGCCCCTCCCAGGTGGGGCCAGGCGCCCACGCAGAGGACGGGTGGGGTGCGTGCCCCCAGGACGGCCACCCCGCCCGCTCACGGCAGGTGCAGGAGGCTCGACCGGGAACGCGGCCGCGGGAGGGGGCCCCGGGGCCCCGCCCCTCCGTGGGCGGGATGTGCCCACGGGAGCCACACGGGGACGGTCGTGCAGCAGCTGTCCCCGCTGGTCCCCCCGCAGGCCCCACCCAACACAGGACAGGAGGGACCACTCACTGATGAGCTCGATCTTCCCGTTGCTCTTCACGTGGTAGAAGGACACGGAAATGCGTGGGGCCTCGCCGTGCAGCACCGCAAACTTGCTCCCGTTTGGCTCCCAGGCGAAGGCGATGATGGTCTCTGCGGCCGAGAGCCGCCCGGTCAGTCCCCGCCCCGCCCGTTCCTGGGCACGCATGGCACAGAGCCCACAGCGGCACCCCCGCCCGGCAGGGACGCCCTGCGCCGGGGCCCACCCAGCCGCCTGCCGTGGGCTGTGCGGGGCGGCGCCCCCGGCCTCCCCTGCACTCGCCGTGGCGCTGACAGAGCCCACGGGCCCGCGCCGGCTGGGCGCCTCCCTGTCTCTGTGCCGTCCCTGCCCTTTCCCCTCCTCCCTCCAGCAAAACGAAACACGCAGGCGGCTCTGCCACCTAAAGACGCAACCACAGCATCCGCAGTGCTGGGCTGGGTCCACAGAAGCTGCCTTAACCCGGGAGCTTGTGCACGAGGGGCCGGCCCGGCAGTGAGGCCTGGCCCTGCTCCGCGCGGCCGCTCCCCTGCTCCGCGGGCGCCCCGCTCCCCTGGCCGACGGAGAAGCCGAGAGGCTGAACGGGGACACCGTGCGCACGTGCCCTGCACCTCGGGGACACCCCGGTACCTGCCTTTCATTTCCACCACGTCGACAGGTACCTGCTTTTCCCTCATTCGGAAAATTTCAAAATTTGTGACAACACCCTGGGGAGAAAAAAAAGAAGAAGAAAAAGAAGCAGCAGCAGCAGCAGGACACCACACGCTGAAGCCCGAGGGGCACCCAGGCCCCACCGGTCGCCATCACACCAGGACGCGGGGCGCTCAGACGCGGGGCGCAGGCACAGGCGGGGCCTGCGGGCCCAGACTCGACAGCAAACAGCGGCCGCAAAGGGCGTGGCCACACGCCAACCTCCCCTGCTCTGTGCTGTGGCCCATCTGCAACCCGCCCCCGGCGCCGAAGGCCGACCGGGTTTCCCCGCGGCACCTTCAGGACACCGAGCCCCGGGGAGCGCGAGCCCGACCCGAGGCAACGTGGATCGGCGCCTGAGGACGCCCCAGCACTGCTCCGCACCCACGGCCGGCTGAGCCCGCAGGCCTTGGAGCCTGGGGCCCCGGGGGCCGGTGCCACCACCGACGGCCAAAGCCCACGCACAAGCATTCCTGCTCAGCTCAAACCTGCGCTGCCCAAGGGTCAGCGAGTCCCCGTGTTAACTCTGACCTGCGGGAGTGCCACCCACTCCCAAGGGGGCCCCTCAGCCGGAGTGCGGCCGGAGCCCCGGCTGCGTCGTGCCAGCTCACCACTCCCGGTGCCCAGGGGTCTGAGCATGACCCGCTGATTCAAGCCAGCAGCCCAGACGCCCTCCGCACAGAGGAGCCGGTCTGCAGCCGCGTGCGAGGCCCAGCGCGGCCCAGCGCGCCCGCTCACCTGGGTGCCTTTGGGCGTCCTGTCCACTTTCACACACAGGTAGTCCCCGTTCTTCTGCCAGTGCAGCTTGCAGTCCACGACGTTGAACAGGTTCCGGACTCGGATCTCCTGCCTGCTGGGGAGCTGCATCAGCGTGACCCTCGCCGGGATGTCTTTGTCCTCGGGCACCCAAAAGGCTATTATGTTTCCCCCGGGAGACCAGGAAAAGTCTCTGCAGAACGAGAAGAAAGCGTCACCCAAGGACAGGCTGAGCAACGAAAGCGCGCAGGAGCTCAGCAGCCTGCACGTGGCCGGATGCCGCTCCAGGGCCAAGCCAGCGTGCCTCCCCCTCACGGCAGCGTGGCACCACCCGCTGTGCCAGGGCAGGGACAGGTGCCAAGTACGCTCCCACCAGCCCCCGGCCCGCCAGGCAGCACCCACCCCGCTCCTAGCCCCTCCCTGCAGCGGTCAGCAGGTAAGATCGCTGTCGGCAGATGGGCTGGCCACGTGACCTCCGAGGACCCACGAGGGCGCTATGGGGAAGCCCCGTCAGCAGGGCAGGGGGGCTGGGAAGACCAGGGCAGTGCCTGCGCCCTGTGAGCACCCCAGAGGTGCCGGGAGGGAAGACTCCGGAGTTGACACCGTGAGGAGCGTCACCACGGCCTCATCGATGTCAACCAGGTGATTCTCACTGTGAGTCGTCACGCTGCCCAAGGATGCAAGAACGAAGAAACAAGAAACGGGGCTGCCCTTGCAGGACGGGCACCCCACCGCAGAGACACCACCCCCCAGAGGCCTCAGCGCCAGGAAATGGGCCGCTAACAGAGAGGCCGGGCTAGGGGCCGAAGGCCACCGGGACCCACTGCGCGCTCACCCGGGAACACAGGACACCAGTCACTAGGTGGGGCCCCAGGCTCCACCGCGGGCCTCAGGAGGCGCTGTGTGTGGGGAAGGAGAGGCAAGGCCTGGGGCCGGCCTCGCACCGGGAAGGGGACGGTGTGCACCCGGGGCCCGTGGAGGGAGAGCCGGTGAGAGCAGCGGGGGCAGCCACTTACTTTATGCCTGAGATCTTCAAGCTCTTCTTGTCCAAGAGGCCCATGGACTGCCAAGAGAACGGGGTCACAATGGACTCGCGTCAGGCCGGAGTCCCAGGCACGGGTTTTTCTTACCCCAAGGCAGCCCGCGGTCCCAACAGGGGCAGCGCAAGCACAGGGTGCCCGACAAACACTGAAACGGCTGACGTCGCCCAGCCGCCCTCCGGCCCCAAGTCCCGCAGCACAACCTGGGGGTCGGCAGGGGACGACCGGGCCCAGGACACGAGGCCCCGGAAGGGTGCCGCACGGCCTCCGTCCTGCACACGCAGCCGCCCCTTGGGCTCCAGGTTAGGGGACGCCCCGCACCCCAGGCCAGTCCAGCCCGTGTCTCCGCAGCAAGGCCACTCACAGGCGTTTCATAGATGCTGAGGGTGTCGAGTGTCATCCTGGCAAAGAACTTCCCGTCGTGGCTCCACCTGAGGAGGAGAAAGACAATGCCAGTCTCTGCCCGTGAGCTGCCACGGGGGCGGACGGCCCCTACTTACTTGAAGATCGGCCAGTGGGCTGAGCTCTCGCAGTGGAAGCCTCTCTTCTTCTGCCCGGTAAGGATGTCCCAGATGACGATGGCCTGAGGGTCGTCCTGCGTGTCCATCAGGGGGCTGAAGGTCACCAGATACCTGCGACAGAGGGGGGACACTCCCAGCCTCCGGTCCTCGCTGTGGTGACCACCCGCCCAGGAGGACATCCCTGTGGCACAGGAGCCGAATGGCCTGCGGGACCAAGCCTCCGTCCGCTGGGGCGGCCCTGCCTGCTGGGTGGCCGGGGCAGGCTCACAGGGGCCAGGAGGCGCAGGCAGCATCCCGATCCCGCCTGTCACCCTGGTGCCGGGGCGCGTCTCGCTTGGACCCACCCCGCACGCACTGCTGCTGGTGGGAGATGTCGGCTGCTTTGTGATAACCACATGCAGTGATAATGGTATCTATCTGTAAGAACTATTCTGTCCAGATTAAGAATCATCCGTGAGCTGGAACGTAGAGTTTACAGGAAATACAAGGATCAAAGGAAAAAAATGAAGCGATGCCTCGAGGTCATCGGCCGAATCAGGAAGGTGAGCTGGCCCCCAGGCCACCAGGTCCTGCCCGAGCAAGTCGGCGTCCACACGCGACCCAGGGAAGGGTGCACGGTCGCAGGTCAGAGAGCTCTGGACCCAGGACTAAACGCCACGTGTGCCCCAGCCTAGACCCCAGTTTGGACCGACCAGCTGTAAGTGAGCGCGATGTGGGGACACACGGGGAAGCTGGGCCGTACTGAACGGTTCAGAGAAACAGCGCGCACGCGCACGACTCCGGAGCCCGTGACGTGGGGCTTCCGTGGAGGCCCGCCGTGAGCAGCCCGCACGGTTAGAGAGGCAACTGCAGCCCACGCAGCGTCCCAGAGGGGCGGGGGGTGACTGAGCGTGCTCCAGCGGAGGGCGCCCGGACGGAGGCCCGGGCAGGCAGGGGGACGCCGCACGGCACGGCCTTCAGGCTCCCGGGGTCCGCCCCCCACGGGGCTGGGCTGCACGGACCCTCGCACACAGGAGGGACGCTCATGCACAACAAAGTCATCAGCAAAACATACGCTGTTGGACTAAACGCTGACCTAAAGGGAAAAAACTTTACAAAGGACATCACTGGATCAAGTGACGGAACTGGAACGGTAAACCAACATTCAGTTTCCGAAGCTGGTAACTGCGCGTGACTGTGCAGAACCTCCCGTTCCCGGGAAATGCACACTTGGGGGGAGGGGCGTGACCCTTCCACGCCCTCCCGAACAGCTCACGGAAAAACTTCCATCCCAACGTTTGGAGGGAGGGGATGGCGGAGCCCAGAGACACGCGCGAGGACAGAGCAACCTGGGGGGCGTGGGAGGGGCCGCAGGAGGCCCGCCGGGCCAGGAGAGCAGACCCCAGGGGCCTACCTTTCACAGGGCGAGAAGTCGATGAGCTGCACGCCCTGGTGGCTGAACCTCTGAATCTGCTTGAACTTCTCGCCGCCCCAGAGAGCAATGCCGCGCTGGTGGAAGGTCGCCAGGTAGGTGCCCTTAGGAGACCAGCGCACGTACGTCTCTGTCCACCGCTGTAGAGGAAGCAGGCCAGGGTGAAGGCGGCGGGCGCAGCCCAGCGCACACCCCTGCCCCTCCGGGCGCGGCGCTGCCCACTCTGGCCCCAAAGCCTCGGGCCCCTGCGCCTCGGCGCCCGCCCCATGGGCAGCGGCGCTTACAGCCCTCTCCTCGATGGAGACGGGGTCCTTGACATCGTTCCAGAAGATGGACGTGCGGTCGCCGCTCTCGAAGATCACGCTGTACTGGTCTCTGCACTCCGCCTCCTCCAGCCAGTAGCGCAGGTTTCCCTAAAAGGGGCCCGAAGGTGGGATGTCGCACGCCGCTCGGCTTTTATCAGAGAAAGCGCGCTTGTTACTGCGGCTCAGAGGCCGACCGATCCCGTCAGCATCCCTAACTCCCAAGGAACCAGCCCCTCGAGCCCAGAGGCCAGCCAGCAACTCTTTCCACTACTTAGCGGCCGACTCGACACAGCGTACCAGGTCTTTGAAAGGCTGTTTCTCTGGAATGTCCCATTCATCGCTGATTGTCATGTACCTGGAAGAGAGAAGAAAACGCTCCAGTAACACAGGGACAGTGCTGGCCACACCGAGGCCCCTGCCCCCAGCAGGGCGCTGTCTGCTCACACTTAGTGCCGGCCAGGCCGTGTCACCACGAGCCAAGCTCCTGCTGCGCCGTATCGACATGGCCACGAACCGACGCCCCAGGGCCGGCCACACGCACCCCTGCCTGTCTGCCCGGAGCAGGGGAGGGCAGGTTTTCACTGGTAACACACAGTGATGGGAAGCTAGTGGGGGGAGGGCGCTACTGGCCGATGCGAGAGCCAGGGGTGTGGACGGTCTTGCGGGGGTCTGACCAGAGGGTGGAGCCACCTGGAAAGCCAAGCACACTCCCCCCAGAACCTGGCCACTCAGCAGGGGGAGGTCCAGGACCTCATGGCCCGAGTCTGAACTCACTTGTCAAAATCAGTGAAGAGGTTGACCCTGAACGTGTGCTGCTTGTCGAGCTTGTAGCCGTCGGCGTTTTTCACCGCATCCAAGGCGTGGGCGGGAGAGGCGTACTCCAGGAAGATGTACCTGCCGCGAGGAGGAGAGCGGGTCACACACGTGCGGCTGGAAGGTCTGGTTTCTGGTCGGCACGCACAAGACCTCCCGGCCGCAAACTCGGCAGGCACTGTGGCCACGCCCCTGCCGTGTCCGGGCGGTCACATCCGAGGCAGAGAGGCTCCCTCAGCGTGAAGGACCCCCCTTCAACTCCATTACCATCGAAAGCCCAGCCGTCAAAATGCCTATCACCTGGCCTACGGTAACGGCTTCACGGATGTGTGCGTGTCAAAATTCATGCACATTTCAAAGCTATGCACGTTTACTTTCTGTCAATCATTTCAATAAAGCAGTTACAAAGTGCCGAGTCATAAATGTTACATACTACGTTGCATTACAGACAAAGTCACAGAGGTTCAAGTGTGTTCCATCATAAGGCAAATGTAACGTGAAGTATCCTCCTACCCAGCTCCAAAGAGAAAACGTTAAAAATGTTACCTGCACTGGATCACTTCATTTCTAAGAAGAAATTAAAACTATTCTAGGTAATTTCCAAACCCGAATGAAATAAACGGTCACCGTCTCACCCCTGTCCTGGCAAAGGCTGCGGTTTCCGCGAAGTGTTAATGGAGGCGGTCAGACAAGACTGGGGGCCAGACAGGGCGCTCGTCCGCGGGCTCCGGCCAGTCGCTGCCTCGTCGGGAGCGGACACCGCCTGGCGGAGCTGCAGGGGCCTCACGCAACCCCGCACGTCCCCTCCTAGCTCTGGGGCCAGGAGACGTTCCTGCTGCCCACAGGGACGCGTGCCGAGACTGCACCTGCGGACGCCGCGTGTCGACGGGCAGGAGAAGCGCTGTCACAGTGCAACACAGCACCAAGGTGCGCGGAACAAAGGGACGGACTTACGTTTATCAACACGGGAGGCCTGACAGGGGACTTCAAAAGCAAGCTGCGCTGCATATGTGTTAGGCTGCCACTATTAAAAGAGGCACTATTTTAGGCAACACTAGGAAAAATGTTGCTGATTAAGCAATGACACATGCTTTCACCTAGACTGTAAAAACTGCCCATTCCAGAGGTTAGAATGTGGGGGGAGAAAGGGCATGTCTTAGGTTCAACAAACCCCACACGCAAAGTTCCCCTGAAATTCTGCCAGCGTCTGACCACAGGGTCCTTTCCCCAGGGTGCGCCCTGTGCCCGCTGCTCGGACAGATTTAAACACCAAGCTCCCGTCTGCGAACGCTCCTCAGCCAGCGCACAGCACCTCCAGCCGAAGCGCACCTCGCGCCCGCCCCCACGTGCCGGCCCAGGAGCAAGGTCTGCGCTGCGGAGCCCCCGCTGAGGGTGGCTTGGCTGAGTCCCCCCACGAGGCGAGGGGCCAGCGACAGAACTCTGCCACGCAGTGGCTGCCGCGGGCGCCTGCCACCAGGAGAAACTTACGATGAGAGTGTCACTCACCCTTTTGTCTTTCCATCCTCCTCTGGATAGAAATCATTGGTGATTTTCCCGAACTTGGAAAAGATCTTATGGATGACATTTTTGAGCTTCTCCAGCCGGTCTGGCCCCACCTGAGGAACGTTGTCAACGACGATCACTGAATCGATCCCATCCGCCTCCTGGGGCCGGTCTTTGAGCGCGTCTCCAAGTAATTCTGTCCGAGGGAGAGATTTGTCCAGTGACTGACTGACCCAACGACACGTCCATGCGGCAGCTCAGCGCCCTGAACGCACTTTCCAGCAGAGGAGAGCAAGCCATCTAAACGCCTGCGCTGGGAAGGTCAGAGGCCTGCCTCGGCCCTGGGCTGCCTCCAAATTTACACCTCAAGGGTCAGGAAGACTGACCTCTTCGCCCTCCCTTTGACAGTCACAACACAGCAACAGACTGCCGGAAATCACAGAAGACTGTTAAATTAAGTTTTTAAAACAGACTTTAAACAATGCAGAACGCAAACGAAGAGGAAGGGCTTCCACCAGCAAACAGAGGAACCGAGGGCGGGCCGGGGGGCCTCCCCCAACCCGCTGCCAATGCCAACAGGCCACCACAGTCTTGCATGAAGGCAGCACGGGGCTGTGCGGAGCATTTAAACCAGGAGACCAGAGGCCACATAAGCTCAGGGGCGTCGCACAAATGCAGCGTCTGACGGCCAGTGGGGTAGCCACACGATAAACCAGCTCACGCGGCTGCCGGGAGACGCCCGCTGTTTACAGACGTCACACCCCTACACGCTAAGCAGCATGGGCTAGCTGTTGTTTTCTTAAGTACACGCAAAAACTCAGAACACATTGTGTTTGTGCATCTGCTCTTAAAATTAAGATAGCAAGATCCGTTATAAGTATTTGAAACTCCTAGGCTTGCTTCATTTCCGTAATATGGGAGGCTGGAGTAAGAGAAAGGAGGAAAGACAGGCGTAAAAAGGACCAGAACAAGGAAACGCAAGGGGAGCCAGTCCGTGCAGGCCTGGGAAGCCGACGGAAGGCCGAATGCCTGCTGCCCACACGCCTGCAGCGGGCCCCGCGCCCCAAGTCCTTTGACCGTCAGGCTCCGGCACCGGTGAGTGCCGGCCAGCTGCTGGAGATGGGCATCTGGAGGTCACAGTGTCAGGGAAATAAAGCGAAGCTTATCCTTCTGTATAAATTAGCTTGTCTAGAAAGGAGTGCAAGGCCAAGGCGCCGGGCTGGGAAGGAGGACAGACGCCTTTAGAGCCGCCACCGAGGCTCACTCACGGGGTCGGGCCAGCCCGCACGCGCCGGGCGCCGCGTCTTCGTGCTCTGGGCCCAGGCGCGCACTCCCGTCCACAAGCACACTCTCAGGAACCCCCCGCGCCACCCAGACAGGACCCGTCAGAAAGCACTCCTTGCTGCGTTTCACTCTCTCCACTTTGGTGTTTGCGACGTTCCATGGTAAGTTGAAAAGTTTTTCAAAAAGAAGTCCTTTGATTTCAAGAGGCATAAACTGTTATAAACGATTTCTAATTAATTTCAACCTTTACAAGTGATGCCAAAAATGTTACCTTAAAAAAGGAACTACCACTTAAATTTCAAAGAAACAAAAATGGAGACCCATGAGAAAAAAGAGAAAGAGGCAGGTCCAGGTCACACCCCAGAGATGTCGTCCCTCCAGCGGCTGAGGCGGATCCTTGGGCTCCTTTTACAGCCCCCTGACTGTACAATTAAGTGGCCTGTGAAGCCTGATCTGAATTTACAAGGTCCACAATAAAAAGCGCAGCCTTTGCTCAGGCGACGGGCTCCTTCCCACAGCCTTGGAGTCCTTTGCGGGGATACGAGCTCTTTATAAGAGTCTGCGATGCACAGCGAGGAGTGAGGGCGGCAACTATACACGAAGAAACAGGCTTTTGGCCCACACTTCTGGTTACTCCTGGTTCATGGAGTCCCCGCCTGGCTCCAGGAGAAACAGGAAAAAGCAATTCTCAAAACCAAGTAGCAAATATAAGTAATACTTAACGAGCCAAACAAGGAGGCATTTAGAGTTAAAGCTCCTCCTGCGTCTGGCAGAGCACCCAGAGCACAGCCAAGAACCGTAGCAGAGAGCCCACCAGGGTCTTGGCGGGAGGGGCCACGGCTGCTCCACACCCGGCACCAGCCCTGGGCCCCAGAGCAGGTGCCTCACAGGGCTCTGCACCTTCCGGAGATGTGGCTCCTGTGCACCGCATGCTGCTCCCGACAGGCAGAAGAGTTCTCATGCAGCACCGGTGGGCACCGGGCACAGCCAAGAGCCCTCGGAGAGCTGCGGGCCTTCTCAGTGCTGGTCCCTGGTCCGGGCCTCGCATCACTCTGGCAATCACACGTGACTGCCACCCAGGACAAGTTTGGGAATAATTCACATGTTAAAATCTTGTGCGAAGAAGGTGTGCTCAAAAATGCTTAAAAAAAAAAAAAAAAAAAAAAAAGTCAAGCCCTGGCTGGTGTGGCTCAGGGGACTGAGTGCCAGTCTGTGCAACAAAGGGATGCCGGTTCGATTCCCGGTCAAAGCACAAGCCTGGGTTGTGGGCCAGGTCCCTTTTCCTCTCTCTAAAAACAAATAAACAAAATATTTTTTTTTTAAAAAATCAAATGTAGAGTCAATACTGAAAAGATCAAAAAAGCCTCTTAAGTCAACACTTAGATGTTAAAGTAACAAAAATCAGCATGGTAATAAAACTCGGGCCTGGGCGGCCGAGGCGCCGGCAGCACCCGCTCCCCGTGGGCTCTCAGCCGCCTGCCGGTGGTGTAAGCGGTTTCCCTCGCGGCAGCTGGGGCCCACCAGCTGCGCAGCCTTCCGGGCCTCTCACGCAGGAGTGTCTTCATCTTATGAAACAAAGTGTGACACAGTGACTAAGTAACTGAGGACAACAGATAACCCGTTGAAATCAGTTAAAAGCTGACAGCTCTATTTTGGTTTTCTAAGCATTTCATTTTACTTGAGATTCATCATGATTCTGACTCAATCTTCACCCACAACAGCTCAAAACACCTTTGCATCTTATTTGCCCGGCAACATCGCGCTTCCTTGGCGCAGCTCTGGCTGCTTGAGTGGCGGTGCAGGTCCTTTTCCCACTGCAAGAAAGTGCGGTCAGCCCACGGGAGGCCACTGACGCGCTTCCAGCCTGCAGAGGACCACTCGCTAAAACCAAAACACAGCCAACAAAATACAATGAGACTCGGAGCTGGGCTCTGTCCCTCTCCGGCAGGGAGCAGAAATAACTATTGTCAATCAAACCTGACGGAAAGGAGGGCAAAGCAACCTGCAATCAACAGGGACCAGAGACAATCAATCATCTGCGATAGGACGGGGCGGGGGGGGGGGCGGGGGTGTCCGCCTTCCCGGTGACAGACACCCAGGCAGGGGGGTCTCCCCCACCACCCCAGGGAGAAGGTCTGCCACTGTGCGCTCCGAGGGCCAGCGGCCCACGCCCCTCACCCACTGAACCACCTCCGCGTGTTTCACTCTTGACAGGCGTGGCCGGACGCTCGGACACCCACACCTGCAGCCGACAAGTGTCACTAGAGGCCTCGCGGCACGTGCTCTGTCCTGCTCTGCCCGACCTTCGCCGCCCCCACCGCGCACCGGCCCGGCTCCAGCCTCCAAACACCCCAGGCAGGAATGGCTGGGTCCTCAGGCGGTCTCTGTCCCGCCCCGCTTTCACAGGAGAGGAGGTGGTCCAGAATCTTGCCTCCGTGCGGGCACCAGCTGGAGAATGGGGCCGCCCCCCGCCGCCTCACCTTCCTCGCTCACGTCGTCCACGAAGTCCTCGGGGTCGCTGAAGGAGGGCTCGTCCGCGTCCCCGTTCTGCGCCGCGCCGCCCTGCTCTCCGCCCGCCCCGTCGGACTGGGCTTCGGCCGCCGCGTCCCGGGCCTGCTCCCCCTGGGACTCGTCCGCGGCCGGGGCGGGGAGCTCCTCGGGCGGGGGCGGGGACGGGCCGGGGGTCGCGCCGGCTGCCTGCTCTCCGTTGGCCGCGGGCTCGGTGGACACTTCAGGCCCCGGCCCGGCCTCCGATTCCTCGTCCTCGCCGCCCGCCGCCTCCTGCGCGCCGGGCCCCGCGGGCCGCAGCGGCTCCTCCCCCGGCGGCTCGGCGGCCGGCTGCTGCTGTTCGGGCTCTGCCCGCTCCTCGGCCGCCTCGGGCGCCGCCACGTTCTCCGCGTCCTGCATGGGCCCGCCGCTGCCGCCTCGCCGCGCTTCCGACTCTCCCAGGCCGCACCGCGCCTACGGCCGGGCCATGTGCGTGCGGCGGGGCGTCCCACGAAGGCGGGGGGGACGCGCCCACGCCCCGGGGTCTCCCAGCGCCACCGGGAAACGCAGAGGGCAGAAGTGTGTCTCCCTGCGGTTACAACGGCGCTCCCACGACAAGTGCGCGCTCCCCGGCCAGGGCACCTTGCCTCGCGTCAGTCTGCAAACTCTCGGCGACCGCAGCTCCCCGCTCCTGGGAGAGAATGGTTCCGCCCAACATGGCGGCCTCCTCCCGTCGGGCACTGCGGCGCGGGCCGAGCCATTTGTGACGCCGCAGGGAGGGGGCCAGGTCCCAGAACTCAGCGTGGTAGTCAGAATTGGGGAAAAACATAACTTAACTCACAAGTTAATACTAGGAAAACCTGTGAGTTCAAGGGGATACTTTGGCTGCGGTGTATTAGCCTTTCATCAGATAAGCGGTTTCCTTTCATTACTAAGTTCCCCTCCCACACTCCGGTTATTAGGCTCGTCCACTGACTGGGCACAAGAACGGACGATTCCAAAATGTTACAGGAATTCCTGGCGAACCAGAGGTGGCCGACCCTGCTAGAAAGGCGACTTCCCGGCGCAGAACCAAGAAAACGAGCGTTGTTTTAGTCAACCGCGCCCGCGCGCACCGCGGCGCCGGTGGTTCCTCCTTTCTCCGTGCCCGCGGCCACGGTGGTTCCGCCCGGAGAAGCCTCCGCCCTGCGCTGTGGGAGAGGGCGAGTGTGGGTCACGTGGGCGGGCGGGGCGGGGCCGCCGGGGACCGCCGAATACGGGAGCCTGGCGGCCTCGCTCCTCTTTCCCCCTTCGGGAAGGGCATCGTGTATCTGTATCCTGTCCTTTGGTTATTGCCAGGCGTGAGGACAACGGCTGATTGGGGGTGTTTGAATCATCCTGAAAAAGGAACTCAGTGGGGCGGGGCGTGATACGGGAAGTTAGTGTTTAATGGGGACGGAGCCTCCGTTTGGGAGGATGAGCAAGGTCTTGAGATGATGGCGCACCGGGTTCCTAAGGCCAAAGTAGTTTCTTCCCGAGGTCAAAGGCTTCACTTCTAGTTTCATCTGCGCTTCTCATAGATCGCCAGGCTCCCGCCAGCCCTTTCGTCTACAAAGCGCTGAGTGACAACTCAGTGATGGAGAAGCGAACATTCAGGAGAAGCTTGGGAACAGGCGCCGCTGGTTTGGCGGCTGCGTGTTTCTTCCCGAAGACCTCCAGGGCATTGCAGGTGCGCGGCACAGGGGCCGCGCGTTGCTGTTCCCCAGTGAAGGGGCTTGTCATATCCTTTAGTGCAGGGAAAGTATGAATGTGCTCACGATCTGAAAAATAAATATTGGGTTGGCCAAAAAGTCCGTATGCTTTTTTTCCCGTAAGAGACACATTTTTCATTTTCACCAGTAACTATTGATATTTTGAGTATGTCAGCTTTCTCCTGCCAGTAGAATGTTTGTTCTCAATGACTGTCTCCATTTGATCGCTATCAACTTGAACTGGTCTACCTGGCAGTGAAGCATCGTCCAGCAAGAAATCACCAGCAGGAAACTTCACAAACCACTTTTCACAGGGTCGATCAGTCACAGCACCTTCCCCATACACTGCACAAATGGTGATGTTTTGTTTTGTTTTTTTTTGCTTTTCAGTTGTGTTTTTACCTTTCTTGAAGTGATAAAGCATATGCCAAAAATGTGTATTTTCTCCCATCTCCAATATTAAAGTGGCCACACAAAAATTCACCAATTTTGATGGTTTTTAAAAACGCTCCCTGATACAACAGCTGACACAATACAATCTAACAAAATTGTTTCGAATGAAGTTAAGGACAACTGTGGGCTCCTGGAGCCTCTGTATGGAAAAAAAAAAATTAAAAGCAAACGCTGAAAACCCAACATCACAATGTGATCATTTTTGCTTCTAACAGCCACATTTATTTGAAAGAACTTAACAGGAGAAAAATGGCCTCCTTGTGCATTTACTGTTTCTGTTGTTTTTCTTTCCTTCCTGAATTTCCAGTCTTCACCTTCTCCATCAGCAAAAGGAAAGTAATTGTGTTCTCTGCTTCACAAGGTTCTATATACCAAATGTTCTATAAAAAATGTTTCAGCCCTGGCCTTGTGGCTCAGTTGGTTGGAGCATCATCCCATAACACAAAAGGTTGTGGGTTTGAACCCCAGTCAGGTCACATGCCTGGGTTGTGGGTTTGATCCCCAGACAGGGCACATGCTTGGGTTGCAGGTTCGATCCCTGGTCTGGGCGCATGCAGGGGGCGATCGATGTTTCTCATATCAATCTCTAAAGAAAAAAAGCAATTTAAAAATGCCCTTGGGTGAGGATGAAAAAAACCATTTCAATAATGTCTGCTCATACACAAGCTTCTTACTTGCTGCTTCTCACTGAACACTGTTGTCAATGTACCCCCGCATTTTTATGTGGTGTTTGTAATGACCATTTGAAAACCTCATGGACATGCGCTGTGCCGGTTGGGGTTGGGCTCTGGAACAGAAACAGGACGTTGGTGGACAGACAGGTGGAACCCACGTGATGTCTCGGGTGTAGTTCCTGGTCCTGTGCAGATGTGCTTTTCTTGGCTGTCACACGTAGGATGTTAACGTGAGGGTTCACGAGAACTCTCTGAACTACCTTTGCAACACTTTTGTAAATTTGAAATCAATCCAAATAAAGTGTTTGCTAACAATTATCAAGAGTCAAACATGCACTCGCGCACCCACGTCTACAGCAATATTTCCCACAATAACCAACACGGGGGCACAGCCCCAGTGCCCGTCCATGGGTGAAGGGCCGAACAACACGGGGCCCGTGTGGACCGGGGAACGTCACTCAGCCTGAAACAGAAAGGGGACTCTGAGCCCGGCCACAGCATGGACGAGCCCCAGGGCACTGTGCCGAGTGAGACAAGCCAGACAGAAAAAGGCAGGTGTTGTATGACCCCACTCCTATAAGGTCCCCAGAATTGACAGCATCTCAGAGACAGGAAGTAGGTGGTCGGTGCCAGGGGCTGGGGGAGGGGTGAGTGTTCAATGGGAGGCAGAGTCTAGCTTGAGAGGGTGAGAAATTTCTGGAGGTGATGGTGGTGAAAGTTACACAACAGTGTGAACATGTTTCATGTCACTGAACTGTAGAAAATGGTTAAACGGTAGATTTTATTTAACTTGTGCATATTTTCCCGCGATGTTTTTCAAAGAAAAACAATGTTGCAAGCCCTGCTTTCTGGTGGTAGTTGTCCCGTCAGATGGCTGGTAACCCCCAGAAGGATGCTGGATTGAGGCGTCCTTGGCCTTTCCTTGGGCAAGTCGTCCCCTTCGAGTGTTAGGAGTGTTAGGATCGCGGACAAATGAACGAGAAGAAACGACTCGCCTGCAGGCGGCGCTCGCGGTCCACCCGCTGCAGTCGCCGAGCTGCACTGCTCTCCCACACTCTGAACTCCGGAGTGAGAAGCTCTCAGACGGGTCTCTCAGGCATTTCTCCAGGACCTTTCATCTGCACAGGGCGGTCTCTATGCTCACAGGGCAGGGAGAGGAGAGAACAGGGACAGACTGACCCAAAGGGTCCACAGTGGCCTCCAAGCCTCTGAACCCCCTTCTGCACCTGACCAAGGACACGTGTGCCCTCAGTCTAATGTGGGGCATGGTCAGGACTCAGACAGCCCCCTTCAGCTGAGGGGCCGTGGACCCCTCTCTGTCCCACCTGAGCCTGTGTCCTGGCTGGAACCCAGATCAGCTCCACCAACGTCGAGACAGTATCGTGGGGTCCAGAGGGCGGGGCGGGGGGTGTTTCTGCCTGGGCCCTGGCTGTGCACCGCGTCCCCTGGAGCCCAGTTGCCAGGTGCTCAGGCTTCTCGCCTGGCTGTTCAGGGAGGCCTCAGACAAGCCCCGGGGCCGGGAAGGGGGGTATCCCTGCTGTGGGTGGGGGCAACTCCAGCCCAGCGTGGCCCCTGGCAGGTGCCTCCCTGCTGTCCTTGGTGAAGGGGGGTGCCGAGGACTGCAAAGTGTGGTTTGTCATGACGGGCTGTCAGCAGGAGGGACGAGTCGGGGCAGGAGTTGGACAGATGGGTCCGTGCGTGGAGCGATGCCAGAGCGGGCCCAGGCCACCCTCGCCGGCGGAGCGTCCCGGTAGTTAGCAGCGGGGCCGAGACCGACCGAGCCCCAGCTCCGAGCCGGCCCTGCCTCGGACGCCTTACACACACCGCTCCACTCGCTCTTCTGGGCACTTTTTACAATTTTATTTTATTGATTTGAGAGAGAGGAAGGGAGAGTGTGTGCATGTGTGTGAGAGAGAGAAACGTGGATTTGTGGTTCCACTTAGTTATGCATTCATCAGTTGCTTTTGTTTTTAATTTATTTTTTTAGAGAGGGGGGAAAGGAGAGGGAAACAGATCGGTTGCCCCTTGCATGCCCCCAACTGGGGACCTGGCCTGCAACCCAGGTATGTGCCCTGACGAGGGGCTGAACCAGCAAATTTTTAGTCAGCAGACCAGCGCTTAATCCACTGAGCCACACCAGCCAGGGCTGGTTGCTCCTGCTTGTGCCCTGACTGACCGCGGATGGAACCTGCAACGCTGGCGTATGCGGATGACGCTCTAACCGACTGAGCTCCCCGGCCAGGGGCAGTTTTGTCAGTCTTTAATTTCAATGATTCTGGTTGGTGTGCAGCGGTTGAAGTTTCAATTTGCATTTGCTTAACAGTGGTATTAAACATTTTTCACGTGCCTATTGGTGCTCTGCACGTCTTCTTTTGTGACGGTTCTGTTTACTTCTGCCCATTTTTCATCAGGGTGTCTTCTGGCTGCGAGTCCCTCGTTAGGATGTGTGTGACACAGATTTTCTCCTTGTCTGTGGCTTGCACTGCCAATTATTATTGGGCCTTGCGAAACCCAGAGGTTTTGAAGTTTCTAGGAAATCCACTGTGTCAGTTTTTTTTCTGTTCGGCTTCTGCTTTTTGTGCCCCTCGGAGAAATCTGTGCCTGTCTCAAGGCTG